GCGTATGCCCGCCTCACATCATCATACAACGTTGTAGATGGGACTGAGGACGTCATAACCGCAACAGTGACTGTCTCACTGTTGGGTTTCGCGACTGTTTCAAAGTCGGGACGACGTGAGAGTGCATCAGCGACGACATTAAGTCGTCCTGGTTTGTACTCGACCGTAAAGTTGTATTCCGCAAAGAATGACAACCACCGCGCCATTCGTTGTGAAAGGTGCGGTCTGTTCACTTTCGTGCGTAATGACGCATGGTCAGTGTAAACAATGAAGGGTCTATCTCCTAATAGATAGACTCTGAACTTCGCAAGTGCATACTTCATGGCAAGGCGTTCCTTGTCATGCACTGGATAGTTCCGCTCAGCTGGTTGCAGCTGACGCGACTGATAGCAGACGACGCGTTCAACGCCTTCTAGGTCGTACTGCATTAATGCACAGCCGATTGCGAAATCGCTGGCATCACAGACCACATGAAATGGCCTGTCCTGATCGGCTATTGCTAGGACTGGGGATTGTATCAAGCTCTGCTTGATACCCTCAAAGGAGCGTTGACATTCAGCGTTCCATAACCACCTCTCGTTCTTTTTCAACAAACGAGAGAGGTGCACAGTCATCTCGGCGTAATTGCGTGAATACTTATGCAAATACGCCGCTAGCCCAAGGAATTTTCGAAGACCTTTGACATCAACCGGCACAGGCCAGTCGGTGATCGCCTTGATCTTTTCGGGATCAGGACGTACACCGTTCTTACCAACGATGCACCCAAGAAGTGGTATTTCGCTTGCTGCAAATATACACTTCTTGAGGTTAGCATACAATTGATGCTTTCGCATGATTGTAAGAACCTGTCGGACGTGGTACCTGTGAACCTCAACGTCCGACTTTCCATCTATAGCTCGACTATGGATGAATACGTCATCGAAATAACTCGGCGCGAATTCGCGTACTGGTCTCAACAGGTGTGATACACATCTGTTGAACGTGACAGGGGCATTTCTAAGCCCTTGTGGCATTACTAGCCATTCCCAGAGCATGCCGCTAGGCGTGCTAACTGCGGTATAGGGTATATCCCGTTTTCGCATAAGGATTTGATAGAAGCCATCCATCAAATCCATGGACGAAAAGATGGTACTCTTTGACATACCATCAATGATGACGTCCTTCCTCGGTATCGGCGTCTGAGCCGGTACCGTTGCAGCGTTCAATTTGTTGAACGCATGCACTATCCGCCACCCTCCTGTTGCTTTTCGCACACAGAAAGTCGGAGAGCTATGTGGGGAAGTTGATTCCCTCACATGGCCCGCTGCTAAACGATCGGCAAAGAACTTGTCGATCGCAAGTACTTGTTCACGGGGCAGTGGTCACTGCTTCATGACACAGTACTTCGAGCCTGGTTTAAGCTCGACCTCGTGTTGAATACCTTTATTTTTCGGTAATTCGCACGGAACAGTTTCAGGGAATACATCCTTGAATTCAACCAAATCTTCATAGAGAGGATTTTTCTTGAGCGATGCCCACGATTGGGAGTCATATCGCTCAATTCGTGTCTTTTCATCTAGGACACTCTTGTCCATAGATGAACTACTGAGAACTCTCTCGTTCTCAGTAAACACTGTTGCTGACCTTATGTCGGTTACACACTCGTCGTCAGCGACGAGTACGCAGATCTGCTTGACTTTGCCACTACGCAGATCACGCAAGAACCTTTTATGTTCGAGCGTTGGCAACTGAGTGATCTCCGAAGTCAACTTCGGGGGCGCAATCAGATCAAGTGTATAAGCGCCTACACTTGATCCGTCATTGAATATGACATTCAATGTCTCTGTCATTTCCTGGGGACTTATTCCCTCAGGCTTCGAAGGACTTATTCCTTCGGCTTTCCGGGGACTTATTCCCGCGGGTTTCGGGGAACTTATTTCCGCCGTATTTGTAATATTGGGACTTATTCCCTTTACTTCCTCTAGCTGGGGTTGCGCAACCACAGCGAGATCCTCTACGAAAGACTCTCCAGTCGATCTAGGATTATCGTTTCGCTTAACCTGAGCGATCGATCGTTTCTCTTCTAGATGTTCCCCGCTAGGGATACATCTTTGTCCCAGTCCACCCGACTTATTCGAGTGGTGGACCTTCGGCGCAGCCTGTGTTTCCTCACAGCCGCCGGAACTTTGCTCCGAAGTGTAACCGTTTGGTACACTAAGGTTTTGTGCAGTCGTACTAACGACCGTACCACAAGTGAGGCCATAGCACTCACTCGTAGTACATCCACACGCTTGTGGACGCTCCAAAACGTTCATCAGATGGCCATCTGATGAACAAGCGGCAGGCATCGTTACTGTCCGATGTTGCCAGTTTACCCGTGGTTCGTACCTTCTGAGCCACGGTATTCCAAGGATGACATCAAATTTGTCATCCAAATCCAATACGATAAAGTCATCGTCATATTGGGTATCTTCTAGCGTATAGTGGATCTTCACTATACGCTTCATGACGGCTACGGATGCGCCTGTCGCAAGACGTACCGTCAATCTCGTAGGAGGTGTGTCACATTCAGTGAAGTTAAAGTGACCATCTTCTAGCGATTGGCGTCGCACAAATTTGTTGGACGCCTCACAATCGACTAGAGCTCGAAGGAAAAACTTATTCGTCACTTCGAGTTTCAAGGTAATGAGTGAGACCTCATTACCTAGAGCAGCAACGCACAACGTTTGCGTGTTGGGAGCAACCTTCATCAAGAGGCCTACAAATTCTCTTGACGTTGCTGGATCAGTAGGGTGCTCCGCACCTACTGATCCTGTCCGTTTTTTTGACGGTCCATCCCGTTGTTGCGTCTTTGCACCAACAGCGGACCCTCGTCCCTGCCCCTTTCTCATGGGTGGACGGTCACTACGCCCAGTGTCGCGAGACACTGGACGAGGGGCACTACACTCGTAAGCGTAGTGTCCTGTCTTTTGACATCTGTTGCATCTCTGCAACTTCTTGTAGCCTGTAGAGCGAGCCTTCTCGCTCTCTACATAACAGAGTTCCATCGGCTCTGGACCTCCGCTGTCATATCGTCTCGGTTGACGATATGATGTCGAGCTGGCGCGAGCCTGTCTCAGACTGAAGTCTTCCTGCTCCGCAATGGAAATGGCTTGTTCTAGTGAATCTAGTTCAAGCCGGAACAGGTGAGTCTTGACGGGACCATCCGCAAGACCCTGCATGAACACCGAAACCAACGTGTGTTCATCCACCGGATTGGAACTTATACAACTCGTGAGATGTCGTATATGTTGAGCGTAAGCGTGCACATCACGCTTACCCTGCTTGAGCTTCAAGAGTTCGGTTCGAGCTCTGAACTCAGCTCTAGGCGGTTCAAACGTTTGTCTAAGCCGCGACTTGAAGACTTCCAGCGACCCAAACGCATATGGGTCGTGCAACTTGAGCCCCAGTGCCCAAGTCTTGGCACGTCCTGCCAGATTTGACTGGGCAAATGCAACTTGCATATCCCCGTCGTCGATGCGACGTGCCCTTATGGCGTCATTCAATTCGACGAACCATCTCAAGAGGGAGTCCTCTTCGACTCCCCTATACTTGGAGATGTCAATCTTCAAGGTCTCGGGTCGACGCGAATGCATCGACCCACCAGCAGCAGCCTGCTGCTGTCTCAACTGTTCAAACTGTTGAGCACCCTGTTCTCTCAACAACTCTGCTTGTTGAGAACCTTGTTGGTGAAGCAAGGCTACTTTCTCGCGTTCGGCGTCAAGTTCATTTTGAATGAACTTGGCGATAGTAGCATGTTGGGCATCTCTATTGAGAGCCTCTAGCATGACGCTAACAGTATGGATGCCCATGGTCGAACCCATTCGTTCAACCGCATCCCATTCGACATCGCTCAAATGGGAGTAGCCGTCACGCGTAGCGTGAAAGCTTTGGTCATCTTCATCATCCAACATATTCATGTTGGATGTGAACGCGGTCCTTGGACGGACTACGAAGTGCTACCAGGTGTAACGGGGCACCCTGAAGCTTGTACTGGTGACAGTACAAGCTACTTATTCTGATGACAGAATAAGGGGGTGCCTCGTAACTTCACGTACACTGGTACGTGCAGAGGAAGACGGTAAGAAGAAGCGAGTACTTGGTTAAAGTAAAAAGTAGAACTGTATTTATAATAGTTAATGTCTGAAATAAATCACTATTTATCTTCATCTAACTATGTCTAAATACAAATGTGTAAATCAGTTATCTGCTCACCACTCATTGCGTGCGTCTGTCGTGGCGCGTCTTCGTTGGTTGATATGATGGCCTATATCAACCAATTAGGAACTACTCGTAAGTGCTACAGAATATTTGTCCTCATGACAATATTCTGAGAATATAACTCTTATAGTTATATTCTATTAACAATTTCTTATAAATTGTTATGTAACGATTCACCCCGTTACAATGGCCATATCAGCCAACCGGTGAGTGCTTCGGAGTGTTACCCCTGATGGTTATATTCACGAATGTTATCGACCTTTATGATAATATTCCATTTAACAGGTATCAATGTTAATCACATGTAACAGGCTCACCCTGTTACAACTGACCAACACCACGAAAACGCAATTTCTATAAATCGTGCATCGTAGCTGAAACGCGATAGCTATCACAAGATACCCTTTTGGCGAAGCGATCACCAAAAGTCAATTTATGAAAAATCTAGTAAATCGACGATGTTTAACAACATGCATTTTAAACGTCGACAATTTACCCCATCTGTAAACAAATAACCCAGCCGAATTAAAATGAACCCAGCCGTTCAGCCTTTTCCTAACAAAAGAACCAGAGTGAAGTTAGTAGCTCCCTTTGTTTGTTTATCGAATCTCTCTCCTGTTTTGCCATTCTCGCGATGACTTATCCAATGCTGCCCAGCGCTGCAAACAGATCACTAATACAACCAGCAGCTACTTTCTTCTCTCACTCTCACTTTTACAGCAAAATCATCCTATTGCTAAAACCTCCATCCCATCTCTTCCATGTCGAACAGTCTCGCTGCTTCACCCCTTCTCGCCCCGCACTTATTTGAAAAGGTGCTCCAGCACCAAGACGCCGTAGCTGTCACCTCGTATCCTGAACAAACGCTCAATGCCTTCGAGTGGACGTACGCATCGCTGTTACGTCGGGCCTTTACGCTGCGTCACGAGCTCTTGAGCCAATCGAAGAAGACCGACCCCAAAACGCCGTTTCATGTCGCATTCCTTGGAGCTCGTGGCCCGTCCTACTTGATTATCCAATGGGCTATTTGGCTCGCAGGGGACACTGCAGTGCCGTTGCATTCCGCCCATCCAGCCGTAGAGATGGACTATACAATTTCTGATGCAAATGCCGAGATTTTAGTCGTGAACGAGTCATTTTTAAAAGTGGGCACAAGACTACACGATTATTTGACGGACCTCCCAACAAGAATAAAAATACAAGTGGTGATACGTCCAGACGATGTCAGATGTTGTGATGATGAAGACATAAAGGAGCTGTCGAGCGAAGAGACGCAACAAGTGGAGCACTGGCTCAAGACCACGGATTTTAGTACCAGTGGAGCCTACATGGTGTACACAAGTGGCACTACTGGACGCCCGAAAGGTGTGGTGACTACTCATCGTGCACTTACTGCCCAGATCAGTGATATCGTAACGGCCTGGAACATGTCGAGCAACGACCATTTGATCCACTTTCTACCTCTGCACCATGTACACGGCATTCTCAATAATTTGTTGTGTGTTATGTACGCTGGTGGATCTGTGGAGTTCTTGCCATCTGCAAATGCGTCACTCATTTGGTCTAAATTTTCTAAGACGGCAACGACGAAGCGACCTTGTTCGATGCTCATGGCGGTACCAACAGTATACATGAAGCTGCTTGAAGAAATGGAAAGTCGGAACGTGAACGATCCAGAGACGCAGGATGCACTAGCAGGTGCTCGAGCATTACGCGTTGCTATAAGCGGATCAATGGCTTGTCCTCTGTCGATTTTGAACCGCTGGGAAAAGTTGACAGGGCTGCGTCTTCTAGAACGCTACGGGATGACCGAACTGGGCATGGTGCTGACGAACCCGTTGCATGGAGACCGTCACATGGGCCACGTTGGCAACGCTTTTCCGAGTGTATCCGTACGCGTAGTGGATCCTGACACGGAGGTTGAGTTACCTTTAAACGAGGAGAAGGAAGGCGAGCTCCGTGTTAAAGGACCGTCAGTCTTTCACGAGTACTGGGGAAAACCTGAGGCGACTGCTAAGGAGTTTGATGCTGACGGGTGGTTTAAGACCGGTGATTTCGTCCAGTACAGCAACACGTACAAAAGCTTTCGAATTCGCGGGCGTGCGAGCGCCGATATTCTCAAATCCGCGGGCTACAAGGTATCAGCTTTGGACATCGAGCGCGTGCTGTTAACGCATCCACAGGTACTCGAGTGTGCGGTTTTTGGCCTGCCAGACGAGACATGGGGGCAGATTGTGGCGGCCATCATACGCTCGGAAGTTCAAGGTGAACACATTGGTCCTGACGCATTGTTTCCGCCTCTCGTGGAGTTTATGAAAGAAAGCCTCGCAAGCTACCGCGTGCCGCGCAAGTGCTTTTTCGTCGATGAGATTCCTAAGAATGCAATGGGAAAGGTGAATAAAAAAGCGCTCTCTACGATCTACTCGGAGAAGTCTTAGCGCTGGCAAGTTCAGTCCACCTTTGTTCGGGACCTCGCATTCATGGGCGAGAAAGTGATTTCTCGTCGACAAGCTTTGGGCGTTGGTAACGCAGCGTCGGCGAGCGGTGTGGAAGAAACTTTGGACACCGGCTGGACGTGCCCACCTAGTGGTGTACCGCATCTGTCCGCAAATTGACATATCAACACGATGAGTAGGATACCGTGAAAAATGAAGTGACAGCGTAGGTTGCACCGAAGACTCTCGTCGATCTTGTAGCACTGTACCAGGGTGTACATGTAAACCGCAACGCTTTCCATTTGTTGGTGCTCGGTCCGGTGCATTTCAGTTGCATTTTCGACAGAGAAGGCCTTCGACGACGATACTGTATCCAGGATGGTCTTTGTGCGCGTCGACATGGCCCATGACCGCTGTTGTGCTACGGTGTTTCCGCCTGATAGTGTGACTGCGTCGGTATCACCGCCAGATCCTAGGGGCGTGACATAAGTTAGGAACGTAAGCGATACACAAGCTCTCAGAGCGATGTGTTGCCGTACTCGTCGTGGCTGATCGTTGAAACCACATCCGTGGATTTGGAGGATGTTGTTGCGAAGCAGCAGCCGCTAGTTTGCGCTCTTTCACATTGCTCGGGACCACTGTGTTGATGAGCGAGCTTTCACTATCGCTTCCTGTCGAGCTCCTAGGCGATGACGAAAAGATGGACGGAGATCTCTGCAGACAATCCGTGGCTGAGCGAAAGGATCAGACACATTAGCTGACGTATGAAACAGAGCTGAAGGACATTGTAGCGGCAGTTGATCACCGCTGTCGTAGTTACCGCCAACAACATGAGCAACAGACGACGAGCTCATGTTTTCTCGAAACGACACAAGCTTCTCGAGATGATCCTCGTGTCGAGCGATCATTTCGTCATTCAGCGACATCAACATCTTCTTCTGCCAGCCAGGAGGAGGATGGCCGAGCACGACACTGCCCTGTGACGATGTTGACGTCGATGGCGATGGTGACGGCGACGGGTGCCGGTTGTGTGTGGAGTTCCTCTGAGTATCTAGTGGATCATGGGTCTAGTCCGACAAAAGGTATCAGAAGGACATTTCGTGTGTGGCTTTCATACGAACGTACCATTGTGCGAGCTCGGGTAGAGAGCTGGGACTGCAGGACTGGAGAAGAAAGGTGAACAAGTCATATAGCATAACTTTGCTGACAGGAATTGCAAACCTTCAGCTCGGCTCATTCTGAAAGACAACGGCGAGGCTGCGACTGGACTTGATGGCGTCAAATTCTCGCGACTACTCCAAGCGCACAGAAAACGTTAGACCCATCTCGTTCGTGGACAGGCATATCTAAGTCTTACGGATGATAGGGATTTCGCACGAACGAGTGGCTATCCGATCGATCAAATGGCTGGAATGAAACGAGACAACATTTGTCAGGTCAGTTCATGTGGCGATGCGATTCTGAAATGTCCGCACCAAGTCTGAACTGGAGCCAGCACTGAAAGCAGACTCGAGTCTGCTACGCTGGAAGTATCGCTGATCAATGTCGCTCACTTCGTCAAGGAAGGCTTGTTGATGGCCGTGTATGCCGTCAAATGCTTGCTGCTGAACCTCAGGCATTCGACAGTCGAAGGCTGTTTCTGTGTCGTGGTCTTTGTCCAGACTAGATTGACGATGATGCTGGAAAAGCTGCGTGGACAGCAGTACTTTGACATCAGCACCAACTTCATCAGATGCTGGGACAAGAATACCTGCCGCACGTTTCGGTCGTCGTTCTGGCCGATGTGCTGTGAAAAGCGACCATCGTGTGTTTCAAATGAAAACCGACGAGCACATTCTCGCTCAGTGTGTTGAGCCTGCGTCTCGTGTCGAAGCTCCTTACCGTCGCTGTACCAAAAAGTGCAACGAAACGAGTGTCTGTCATCAGTCCAGTACTCGACTTCACTCTGCAGTCCACTCACTTGACAAAGACCGTGTCACCATCAGAGGCAACTGTTGATAGTGGTCGTTCTCCACCACTGGCATCTGGCAGTCGTTGAACAGCTCGGAACGGCTGTTCGCCTCTTCTCGCCTTCTTGACTGGAGTGAAGACACACCTGCTCCCACTGCTTCCGTCTCGACCCTCCACTGCGTCTTGGCCACGCCTCGTCTTGTGGCTTGGACTCAATCGTGCCCTGCTGTCCAGTGTCCAGTCACTCGTCACCTCCAGCGCTGCAGTTTCCCCCGTCACTTCTTGACTCGTGGCAGGCTTGGAACTCTTTGCTCTCTGCCGCTCGAGCTCCAGCACGCGAATGTCTGCACGTTGACACCACCAGAACGTTGTCACTACTAGAGCCACACGAAGAGTCCAGTGACTCATGGGTACACGAGCACGCTCCCGACCTTGAGACTCGGTGTCGTCTCCTACTTGTACAATGTACCAAGGCGTGGTCGAGTCGCGCGCTCTGGCTGCTGCTGCTGGCTGAGCGCTTCGAGATGGGCTCGAGGGCTTGACACGCTGCCGCTGGACTTGCGATGGAAAGTGCATCTGTCGACGTTGGCCGCGCTGCGAGTACAGCGCGCGGTGTTTCCCGCCCGTCATCCAGTTCATGCTTGGGAGCCGCTTGTTCCTGACTGGAGTGTGTGTGAGTGCGGGACAATTGCGGAATGACCGCAGTGCGGGCTTGTCAAAGTTGTTGCACTTCAACTTAGAGTGATGGTCATGCTGGCACATAAAAAGCGGTTTGACTCAAAAAAATGTATTTTTCACACTGCTTGATTATGTTGATGCAGATGGTGTTCTAGGTCTTCTAAATGAACGGTGTCGACGGATGATCTAGATTAAAGGGGTGTTGTGTGGCTTACATTTTGTAAGACAAACCGCAGCAAGCTTGAACAAGGCATGCACAGAAGAAATGAAACAAGTGCAAGTAAAAGCCGACGTCGGCTTCGTTCACGTCGAGCTGTACAAATGCCAATATATCAGCATTACCTTCAGTCGAGGCTAGAATCTCTCAATTTCACCATACAAATATGTAGTACTAATGTACATGCATAAACACTTTTTTTTCAGAAACCGATTATGCAGGATGGACGACCCCACTGCATGATTTAGCACACCGATTCGATCATATCAGCGCCAACTGCTCACAGAAAGTGCATGACAAAATAATTTTTGACGTTTTAACGATTTCGACCGTGCAAGTGTGAGCCTGCTAACGACCGCTTACGATTTAATACTTCATCTTGACTCATAAAGATAAATAAACTTTACTAATGCACGTACTGCGTTTGGACAGCCACACTTTCGGTGGTCAGTGGGTACGTTATGGGCACGGAAGGGTACGCAGCCATACGTTAGTATACCATTTAGTATTCCCTCGTTTTTGAAATCGCTTTACTTACCGGCTACGGACTTACCGATTTGGTCAAAGTATCGTACATCTTCGCGTTAACAAAGCCCATGCTTCTTCAACCGTGGCTTTTCCGCTTCCTGATATACTCTACGACCATCAGCATAAATATTGCCGCGAGCTAGAGATCTTGATCCTTGTCAACGCTATCCTGAACTTAGGCGATCATGATATATATCGGTGCTGCATCATGCTGTAGTGCATGCTTCAACTTGTAATGTCTGGACGAATACCAAAACCTGGATTTCATGTACATTTTTGTGCGGCAGCGTCATCAATTTTTGTACCAAACACACACCGAAATTTTTAGTTAAAATCTACACTGCAATCCATCAATTACTTTACATTGTCTCCTATGTCATGCCTGTGAAATTACGTGTGCAATACCAAGAACAAATACATTTTAGATCCTTTGGTGTGCTGCACCGAGAACTATGGATTAAACTGCTTCACGCGAAGCCAAACGTATTCGCCAATTAGCCTAAACTCAGCATAGGTGTTCGTAATCCCCTCATCATGGAATCACATCAATGTTTGAACTGATTTTCGATTGCATAATGGCCAAGCCATCTTACAGATTGTCTTCAGAAGCACTTTCCATGCACTTGACCGCAACAAAACAGTGTCTCCATTTGTATATATTTCAGATCCTGTTTTGTTCATGCTAGAGGTTCCTACATTTTTGCTATCTTGAACTCATGAGAAGTCAAAGCTAATTGATGATCGTATAACTCGACGTGGGCCATCACATAGCAAAGTACGACACTGAGTGAGCATACACTACATTTCTTAAACTATTGTATGTATTCGAACCAAATTGACATCGCTCTGGCGGAAAAGTTGCTCGGCGCTAGCCATACTCATGACGATCCGTTATGCACTTACAGAGCCTGCCATAGTAATCATTGACGGCTTTAAGATTGGGCGCCAGCTTGGGTTGATACATTACGGCATTCTTCCTTCATTCGCTCATTTTTTTAGACGCCATAGAATTTCTGCATTAAGACAAGGAAGGCACCATGAATCGAAATGTAATTAGTAGTCATGCACATACTTGTACGTAAATGGGTATACAAAACGCTGTTTGGAGATGATCGTGCATTGCTCTACCCCTTAATCAATGTACCAAGTATCGCAAAGTAACGTCATGAAAGGTTTACAGGATGCGTGGATCCCGCAACATGTAAAAGCTTTATACTTCCATAGCGTGTTTTATTTGCGCTATGCTACATCATGTGCTGCATCAACAAGGCGAGCTTGCCGTATCCAACTCAATTATTACATGATAGACTCCTACCAATACTTCAACTAGGACCTCGTAAAGAGCAGGCAGTACAAGGTGAGACGTAACGAGTGTAGCGGCATACAAAAGTGTCTGCCAAAGACCTTTTAGCAATGTGCGTGTATACGCGCTAAGAAGCACTTGTGTACCTAATTACGGTTGCATGTAGCAACTTGATGGGTCAGATGCGCAAACGACCATCCACATTCGACTCTTGCCTCCCGACGAACAATGACCGTATTCGACCAAGCATTTTTCTCTGTCGACGGATTGTCAAGCGTGTGACCGACCGACGATTATTGTAGCATCCACGATAAGAAGCAGGCCAGCAGCCCATGTGGTACGTAGCTCTTTTAACCATGATCCGTGGGATATGACGTATCTTTTAAAATCGAAGATGGTATCTCGACTCTGTCATCGTAATCTCCGTAGAGCCAGAATATAATCACAAGCGCACGAAGGCGCACGACTGCGTTCAGTTGAGACGATGGTGGAAAGTGCTGGGATTCTTCGTGACGTGCTCGGGAAAATTACCAAATCAAGGCTGTCTCACATCCGGATCCGTAAGAACCATACGTTAGTCACTCACTACATACTTCTTGATACTATTCAAAGTCTCAACTGCACCGTAGACCATGAAGATTGTAGTGCCGGGTTGTAATAGTGTTCATGTATGTCTCTGTCAGCGTGGCGTTCACGTAAAAGACACAGGCATTTACAAGATGCTGCACAAACTGATTTTCTTGGCATCGATGACTTGTTGAACAAAATGATGAGGACATTGATGTCCACAGCGAGTCACGATGCCATGAAAACCTTCGTAAGCTACAAAGTCATCAGAGGTGCACCTACGTAGGCGTGAAATTTATTGTCCAACTGCCGTACTGTGGGATGTCTGCGTAATGTCCAGGGTAGTCGCAGAGAAAGCATCCTATCTGTGCTGACGTCGAGATTGTGAGTATGAGTCTAACATGCACGTCTTTTCTCATGCGCGGAATACCGAGAGGTTCTTGAGTGCATCGGAAGGCCGCAAGCGACCGGGTCCACACCATCACGTCAGTGTTCAATCACGATGCGGCTGGCTGTGGTTGCTTCGTCACAATTATTTTTGCACCACAAACCATTGGAACTCACTCACTCTGTTACTGCGCTCCCGACCTCTTCCAACAGTCATGTCATGCACACCACCTGCAGCACTGCAATTTCTGACCCAAGACCCTGCGGACGGCATCCCCGTGAAGGAGGTGGCACCGTTCCTCCGCAGTCTGCGTATCATGCTAAACACCGAGAACCCACGCATCTTACGGTGGACGATGGATGGCAAAGCTTTTGAAATCCACGATATGGCTGCCATGGCTCGACATGTGCTGCCAAAGTATTTCAAGCACCGCAAGTACGCGAGCTTTCAACGGCAGCTCAACTACTTCCACTTTCGCAAGTGGACCAAATCTCGCGCCATCGTGTGCACGTTCTCGAACCAGTTTTTCCAGCGCGACCAGCCCGCGCTAACGTGGCACATTACGCGCAAGCGCTCGTTGTCTCCGACGAAAAACACATTGTCCCGAAGCAGTTCCGTCAAAGAGGATGGACGAGCTCCGTTGGCACTAATGGCGCCAGATCTGCAGCTCAACCCCGTGAAGCAGACAACATTGGAACCAGATACGATCGATGGAGATGCGTCGCTTGCATGGGTCGACGCACTGTACCTAGAGTTGGAGCTGGATCTACCTGACGACATCGACCCTACCTCCACAAACTGCTGTTTGCTGACGGAACCGCTATGGCTCTAGGAGTGTTCTTTGCTGCAGCCTCTTATTTAACGGATGGTCGTGACAGAACAGCAAGCGCCGATCGTTCAGACCACCAGTATCGGAAGTCGAGCGTGGTACCCCCTAGATATCTACATTTTTCCAGCTTACGTACAAGCATGCGTCTTAATATGCACAGTCCTCCTTGTGTCATAGTCAACATTGGCAGCACAAGCACCCACATATCGGTATCTTGATTTGCTGCAATGTTTGTTGAGCCCAGTCGCGGTAGTAATGACATCATATGGTTGCACGCGACTGAGGTGGCGGGCTCTACAGCCGCGCTGTCAGATGAAACAACCACAACCTCCGTCATGAGATCTCGACTATATAGGCTTTGCGATCCCTCCGCCCTTGTTTGCTAATTTGATTTGACAAAGAGCAGTGTGTTGCTCGCCACAGTGGGACCGCGGACGGTTCGTGATCACATGTTCGGGTTGGCACCCCAACATGCACATTCGTGATACCGAGAGAAGTCGCAGCAAAGCGGCTGACACATCCTGAAAACACGGCTTCGTATACCATCTTACAAGTCGGTTGTTTTTCTTACTAGACGTACAATCGGGCGAGATCAAAGATAAGGGTTGACTCCTTCAGGATGGACCAACGAGTGGTTCCTAGCACTTCGCAGCAAACTAGAAACATCATTGTCGCACTTCGGAAGGACGAAAGATCCACCTTCCTACTGAATCGAGATATCCATATGACGATAGCGAACTGGATCTGACATCTTCCAAGATTTCCGCCGTCTCGATGTTCCGCCACCGCCGTCACTTGTCGCTTTCTTCCAGAGAAATCAGGAAGGGACTCACGCGAATGGTACTTAATCAGACCAGCAAATCGCCTGGCAACCGATTTGTAGCGCTCCTTTGTACATCGCAAGCCGATTATGCGCGCATAGTGGTCGTGGAGATGGTCCATCAACAAATACGACATTACCTAGCAGTGTCAAGCTTCACCCAGACCTAGTAGCAGCTACTTCCAGGGCTGGTCGTCGTTGAAAAAAGTATGAAAGAAAGAGCACAGCTCGACACCCTATCCTGAAGCTCCAACGATCAGTACGTTGTCGTCATCATGACCTACCTATGTTTTTTACTTCGACGGACTATGCAGGCAGTGAGGGTCCGTCCGTCAAAACGCGAAAAGGACACGGCACGCATCCATTACAACATGCAGCGCGTGTGCGTGTGCTAATGTATCGATCATACTATTGCGAGCACAGACAACGTGGTGCATGCAGCCTTCCTTGCAAAGGTGAAGACATGCTGTCTACAACAGGCGTACGCGAACGTAATAGTTTGTTTGTCACATCGCATAAAACCTAAATACATGTACATCGTACAGCCTGAGCCTGAGCCTTTACTCTCGATACAATCGCTCTACGGACCTGGTCGTCTGCAAAGCTACAACACGCAACATACATAGCTCGTACTCCCTTCTTCCCCTAAAAAAAGAGATGGCCCTCTATTCTCACTTCCATCGATCAAGTCAAATTGACTGTCTCGACGTCACAACTCGGCGCACTCGAACGGGTAGTCGCGGCGGATGGAGCCCGTGGCATTGTCTATAAGTAGCGGCGACTGGAGTGATGAGTACAGCACGTCCACCCAGTCCAGTGATTGCTCGTCCTGGCCGCCTATCGATGGTTCGTAAAAGGAGGCCTCACTAAAGAGAGCCAGCTCGTTTGCTATCGAGAAGGCGTCCGTGGGTGACGGAAACGACCCGGGACTGCTGGCATCACCCGACGGTACCTTGATGGCGATTGCCTTCTTCGTCTTGGCGGCAGTGCTACTGCTCCGAAGGTTCTCAGGTCTCTTGCGTACGATCCGCCAAGCCAGCGCCGGCTGGTCACGCTGGAAGAACGGGTTGGAAAAAGTGCACACGAGTGCCTTGGATTTTGTCCACTTGCGAAAGTTGAAATAGTTGAGCTGTCGCTGGAAACTCGTGTACTTGCTGTGTTTAAAGTACTTGGGCAGCACGTGGTCCATCATGGCAGCCATGTCGTGAATCTCAAAGGCCTTGCCGTCGGGTGTCCATCGCAACACGGCTGGGTCTTCCGTGGTCAGAAGCTGCCGCAGGCTCTTGAGGAATGGTGCCACCTCTGTACCTCTGCGGCAGGAGTCCATTGCTAACGAAATGGAGCCGACTAAGATGCTAACGAAGGTGCACTTTGGTCGACAACTAAGGGACTCGCAGACAACGGTGTTTGTGTGTCTCCGTCTGCAAAAGAGGGACTCGTGCTTGTCTCGTGATTGAAGTGAGACGTCCAACGCAAATTACACAGTGCCCTAGCTGACTGACTGGCTGGCTCCAGGACCTAACTCAGATGCGTCAGAAAGCGACAGGGGGGCAAACAAAGTCGCCGATACCTCGACACAGAGTCGCTGCTTTTCTGCACAACGACGGGCCGACACCAGAGACGAGACAGAAGACGACAAGGAAGGAGGGAGATGTGCGGCTGTGATCCGTATAAACGTAGGTATGCTGAGCGCTGGCGTCAGGATGCCATGAACGGGCATGCCCATCTGACGGCGGTTCAAGCGGTTCCGCTGCCCTTAACTCGAGCATGGCATGTAAGGGAAGCAAAACAGGCAAGTCTTCCTGTGATATCTGAGCAATGTATGTGTGCCTTGGACCATTGTGTTACCACTGGTGCAACGATGTATATGACATGGTTACAAACACTGCAATTCTTGGTATTCATACGGTCTACACGGATGACAGCAACGGAGAGGTCCAAAATTCGGGGTACCACTTTGACCATACCACTCCTCGAGGTATTCTTGGTGCATGTGAAGATCGCTTGCCGGGACTAAAAAGCATCCTTATTGTGAGTCATGGTTCCTTGGAACAATAAGCGCAATGCAATCAACGAGCTGGAATACTGCAACAGTACATGTAACGGGGTGAATCGTTACATAACAATTTATAAGAAATTGTTAATAGAATATAACTATAAGAGTTATATTCTCAGAATATTGTCATAAGGACAAATATTCTGTAGCACTTCCAAGTAGTTCCTAATTGGTTGATATAGGCCATTATATCAACCAACGAAGACGCTCCACGACAGACGCACGCAATGAGTGGTGAGCAGATAACTGATTTACACATTTGTATTTAGACATAGTTAGATGAAGATAAATAGTGATTTATTGCAGACATTAACTATTATAAATACAGTTCTACTTTTTACTCTAACCAAGTACTCGCTTCTTCTTACCGTCTTCCTCTGCACGTACGAGTGTACGTGAAGTTACGAGGCACCGCCTTATTCTGTTATCAGAATAAGTAGCTTGTACTGTCACCAGTACAAGCTTCAGGGTGCCCCGTTACACCTGGTAGCACTTCGTAGTCCGTCCAAGGACCGCGTTCACATCCAACATGAATATGTTGGATGATGAAGATGACCAAAGCTTTCACGCTACGCGTGACGGCTACTCCCATTTGAGCGATGTCGAATGGGATGCGGTTGAACGAATGGGTTCGACCATGGGCATCCATGCTGTTAGCGTCATGCTAGAGGCTCTCAATAGAGATGCCCAACATGCTACTATCGCCAAGTTCATTCAAAATGAACTTGACGCAGAACGCGAGAAAGTAGCCTTGCTTCACCAACAAGGTTCTCAACAAGCAGAGTTGTTGAGAGAACAAGGTGCTCAACAGTTTGAACTGTTGAGACAGCAGCAAGCTGCTGCTGGCGGGTCGATGCACTCGCGTCGACCCGAGACTTTGAAGATTGACATCTCAAAGTATAGGGGGTCGAAGAAGACTCCCTCTTGAGATGGTTCGTCGAATTGGATGACGCCATAAGGGCGCGTCGCATCGACGACGGGGATATGCAAGTTGCATTTGCCCAGTCAAATCTGGCAGGACGTGCCAAGACTTGGGCACTGGGGCTCAAGCTGCACGACCCATATGCGTTTGGGTCGTTGGAAGTCTTCAAGTCGCGGCTCAGACAAACGTTTGAACCGCCTAGAGCTGAGTTCAGAGCTCGAACCGAACTCTTGAAGCTCAAACAGGGTAAGCGTGATGTGCACGCTTACGCTCAACATATACGACATCTCACGAGTTGTATAAGTTCCAATCCGGTGGATGAACACACGTTGGTTTCGGTGTTCATGCAGGGTCTTGCGGATGGTCCCGTCAAGACTCACCTGTTCCGGCTTGAACTAGATTCACTAGAACAAGCCATTTCCATTGCGGAGCAGGAAGACTTCAGTCTGAGACAGGCTCGCGCCAGCTCGGCATCATATCGTCAACCGAGACGATATGACAACGGAGGTCCAGAGCCGATGGAACTCTGTTATGTAGAGAGCGAGAAGGTTCGCTCTACAGGCTACAAGAAGTTGCAGAGATGCAACAGATGTCAAAAGACAGGACACTACGCTTACGAGTGTAGTGCCCCTCGTCCAGTGTCTCGCGACACTGGGCGTAGTGACCGTCCACCCATGAGAAAGGGGCAGGGACGAGGGTCCGCAGTTGGTGCAAAGACGCAACAACGGGATGGACCGTCAAAAAACGGACAGGATCAGTAGGTGCGGAGCACCCTACTGATCCAGCAACGTCAAGAGAATTTGTAGGCCTCTTGATGAAGGTTGCTCCCAACACACAGACATTGTGCGTTGCTGCTCTAGGTAATGAGATCTCACTCATTACCTTGAAACTCGAAGTGACGAATAAGTTGTCCCTTCGAGCTCTAGTCGATTGTGGGGCGTCCAACAATTTTGTGCGACGCCAATCGCTAGAAGATGGTCACTTTAAATTCAGTGAATGTGACGCACCTCCTACGAGGATGACGGTTCGTCTTGCGACAGGCGCATCCGTAACCGTCATGAAGCGTATAGTGAAGATTCGCTATACGCTAGAAGATACCCAATATGACGATGACTTTATCGTATTGGATTTGGATGACAAATTTGATGTCATCCTCGGAATACCGTGGCTCAGAAGGTACGAACCACGGGTAAACTGGCAACATCGGACAGTAACGATGCCTGCCGCTTGTTCATCAGATGGCCATCTGATGAACGTTTTGGAGCGTCCACAAGCGTGTGGATGTACTACGAGTGAGTGCGATGGCCTCACTTGTGGTACGGTCGTTAGTACGACTGCACAAAACCTTAGTGCACCAAACGGTTACACTTCGGAGCAAAGTTCCGGCGGCTGTGAGGAAACACAGGCTGCGCCGAAGGTCCACCACTCGAATAAGTCGGGTGGACTGGGACAAAGATGTATCCCTAGAGGGGAACATCTAGAAGAGAAACAATCGATCGCTCAGGTTAAGCGAAACGATAATCCTAGATCGACTGGAGAGTCTTTCGTAGAGGATCTCGCTGTGGTTGCGCAACCCCAGCTAGAGGAAGTAAAGGGAATAAGTCCCAAGATTACAAATACGGCGGAAATAAGTTCCCCGAAACCCGCGGGAATAAGTCCCCGGGAAGACGAAGGAATAAGTCCTTCGAAGCCTGAGGGAATAAGTCCCCAGGAAATGACAGAGACATTGAATGTCATAGTCAATAACGGATCATGTGTAGGCGCTTATACACTTGATCTGATTGCGCCTCCGAAGTTGACTTCGGAGATCACTCAGTTGCCAACGCTCGAACATAAAAGATTCTTGCGTGATCTGCGTAGTGACAAAGTCAAGCAGATCTGCATACTCGTCGCTGAAGACGAGTATGTAACCGACATAAGGTCAGCAACAGTGTTTACTGAGAACGAGAGAGTTCTCAGTAGTTCATCTATGGACGAGAGTGTCCTAGATGAAAAGACACGAATTGAGCGATATGAGTCCCAATCATGGGAATCGCTCAAGGAAAATCCTCTCTATGAAGATTTGGTTGAATTCAAGGATGTATTCCCTGAAACTGTTCCGTGCGAATTACCGAAGGATAAAGGTATTCGACACGAAGTCGAGCTTAAACCAGGCTCGAAGTACTGTGTCATGAAGCAGTGGCCACTGCCTCGTGAACAAGTACTTGCGATCGACAAGTTCTTTGCCGATCGTTTAGCAGCGGGCCATGTGAGGGAATCAACTTCCCCACATAGCTCTCCGACCTTCTGTGTGCGAAAAGCAACAGGAGGGTGGCGGATAGTGCACGCGTTTAACAAATTGAACGCTGCAACGGTACCGGCTCAGACGCCGATACCGAGGAAGGACGTAATCATTGATGGTATGTCAAAGAGTACCATCTTTTCGTCCATGGATTTGATGGATGGCTTCTATCAAATCCTAATGCGGGAACGGGATATACCCTATACCGCAGTTAGCACGCCTAGCGGCATGCTCTGGGAATGGCTAGTAATGCCACAAGGGCTCAGTAATGCCCCTGCCACGTTCAACAGGTGTGTATCACATCTGTTGAGGCCGGTACGAGAATTCGCGCCGAGTTATTTCGATGACGTATTCATCCATAGTCGAGCTATGGATGGAAAGTCGGACGTTGAGGTTCACAGGTACCACGTCCGACAAGTTCTTACAATCATGCGAAAGCATCAATTGTATGCTAACCTCAAGAAGTGTATATTTGCAGCAAGCGAAATACCACTTCTTGGGTGCATCGTTGGTAAGAACGGTGTACGTCCTGATCCCGAAAAGATCAAGGCGATCACCGACTGGCCTGTGCCGGTTGATGTCAAAGGTCTTCGAAAATTCCTTGGGCTAGCGGCGTATTTGCATAAGTATTCACGCAATTACGCCGAGATGACTGTGCACCTCTCTCGTTTGTTGAAAAAGAACGAGAGGTGGTTATGGAACGCTGAATGTCAACGCTCCTTTGAGGGTATCAAGCAGAGCTTGATACAATCCCCAGTCCTAGCAATAGCCGATCAGGACAGGCCATTTCATGTGGTCTGTGATGCCAGCGATTTCGCAATCGGCTGTGCATTAATGCAGTACGACCTTGAAGGCGTTGAACGCGTCGTCTGCTATCAGTCGCGTCAGCTGCAACCAGCCGAGCGGAACTATCCAGTGCATGACAAGGAACTCCTTTCCATGAAGTATGCACTCGCGAAGTTCAGAGTCTATCTATTAGGAGATAGACCCTTCATTGTTTACACTGACCATGCGTCCTTACGCACGGCAGTGAACAGCCCGCACCTTTCACAACGAATGGCGCGGTGGTTGTCATTCTTTGCAGAATACAACTTTACGGTCGAGTACAAACCAGGACGACTTAATGTCGTCGCTGATGCACTCTCACGTCGTCCCGACTTTGAAACAGTCGCGAAACCCAACAGTGAGACAGTCACTGTTGCGGTTATGACGTCCTCAGTCCCATCTACAATGTTGTATGATGATGTGAGGCGGGCATACGCCCAAGATGGTGAGATAGTGAAGTTGTTGTCACATCTCTCCCAACCATCCCGAGAATCGTTGAAACGATTGTCGTCTGCGTATCGATCTGCATCAGATCGATACACTACTCGTAACGGTTTACTGTATTATACAGCCGTTTCTGGTGACACACCACGTGTTGTCATTCCAGATGATACTGATCTGCGTTTGCGGATCATGTTCGAGTATCACGATGCTCCTATAGGAGGACATCGTGGCCGAGAGAAAACATATCTCACGGTAAGTCGAGACTTTTACTGGCCCCGCCAGTATCAGTTTGTGCGAAAGTATGTTCGCGCATGCGAAGTCTGCCAACGAGTGAAGTCAAGTCCTTCACTGCGTGCACCTTTACAGCCTCTACCGGTTCCGGCTGAGTGCTGGGAATCCATCTCAATGGATTTCGTCTTCGGGTTACCCAAAGACGCACGCGGGAATACGGGTATCCTCGTATTTGTTGACAGATTCAGCAAAATGGTACACCTTGTGGCTGTACCAGAGACAATCACGGCAAGTGGCTGTGCTTGTGTCTTTATTGATACCATCTTCCGACTTCATGGGTTGCCCCGTGAACTCGTATCAGACAGAGATCCACGATTCACTGCTGATTTCTGGCGTTCCGTGTTCAAATCACTCGGAACGCGCTTGAAGATGTCAACATCTGATCATCCAGAGTCGGATGGTCAGACGGAACGTGCCAATCGTGTCCTTGAAGAGATACTTCGAGGATACGTACACTCCTTTAAGAGTTGGAGTGAGTTTTTGCCAATGGTAGAGTTTGCCATCAATAACTCGGTGCATGTGTCCACGACACATACACCGTTTTACGTGAATGGCTTGCGCCATCCGCGTGTACCCACCTTACTAGAGTGTAACTCTGGTTTAAGGGGGGGAGGGACTCGCGCGAGCAAAAACCGATTTGGTTCACGCTCATCACGCTCTGACGAAGAAGTCATTGCGTTTGATGCCGATATCGATAACATCGATATCGAAGAATATGATGCCAGTGAGAGTGCGGAAGCCCTCACTGAAGACAATGATCCCAGTGAGAGTGCGGAAGCCCTCACTGAAGAAAAGGTTGTTGTCGCTGCAGTGCGCTCACAGCACACTGAAGCTAACGAGTCATCAGATGAGTTCATACTGGCTCGTGAAACGGTAGTCCGTTTTGTGCAAGACTCCATCGCCGAAGCGGTGGATAAGCAAAAGCAAAACGCTGACAAGAATGGAAGGGCAAACACTCTTTTATTTAATAAAGGTGACTTAGTCCTACTGTCTACGGTTAATCTACCAAAGCATGTAGTGACTAACTTGGGTAGCAGTAAACTACTACCCAAGTACATTGGCCCATTTCGTGTATTGCACCGCCTAGGCAATGCATACACGATCGAGTTACCACGTAAGATGCGAACGCATCCCACGTTTTACGTTGGTCGGCTTAAGCCGTACCATCAGTACGCTGCTTCTTCCGATGAAGAACGCCCTTGCGCTCAAGCATCTCGCAGAGAGCCTTGTGCTCCCGATGGTGGGCATCAACAAGGGTCTGAAGAGCAGTTATCTCAGCCCGAGACCGATCAACAATCCCACGAGCTACCCTTAGCTCGTCACGAAGAGATGTCAGAGATCTCTCGTTCTCAAGCTGAGCAAAGGCAAACTCAGCTCGATGCTTCGAGGCAGTGTCCACCATCTGGAGACGCCTATTCCGCTCATGCTCGAGATCGTCGCGTAACCCTTGCGTTACGCGATCAAAGAAGCTCTCGGGAACACACCGATCCACATGATCGTGTGGAGAGCGTCTTTCCTCCTCCTCCACCTCCATTAGAGGACTCTCGCGGTGGCCAGCGCTATCTAGTAGAGCAGCTGTTGAACCACCGCGACGTGAACGGACGTCGGACGAGTTACCTCGTCCGGTGGCGCGGCTATCCCCCGTCCTGGGATTCTTGGGAGCCCCGCTCCCAATTGATGGTTGACGTACTGGGTCTGGTCGAGCAGTACGACGCGGCACATCCTGTGCCGCAGAAGGACCGCCGGAGAAAGTCTTCCCGGCACGGTCGTAAAGGGATTTCAGGTTGTCAATCCCTTCGTACATCTCAGTAGAGACACGTACGCGCCACCACGGGCTGGTAAGGAGGTAAGCCTCCTTAGGTGCTCGTGCAGAGTTGTTCACACAACATGGGCACGAGTCTCCCCAAGAGAGGCAGGGTAATCCTTTCTCCCTTGACAGACGATGCAGCTTGTAGCGTGCACCTGTCGGGGTTCGCTTTTCAAACTTATTACGAGCTTTGATAAGTTTGTCGTTCCAAGCGTCACGACCTACATCCTCGAGGTTATGGATGTAGGCGTTCCACGCCTGAAGTAGTGAGGGACCATCACGTTTGTGATTCCCACTGTACCATCGATGTCTGAAGAAAGCATCGATGAAGAACTCATGTTCAGCGCGATAGTCTTTCGCGCTGGGGTCAAGGTGATGGATCCTTGACGAATAGAACAATCGTGTTCGATAACGATCACTCGTCGTCGCCGACAAGTGATCCATGACTGATTTTGGAGGCATCCATGCCTTCTTCTCGGGAGCGAGACGCAAGACATTGCGATCCCGCTCTTCCTGCGATGTGCCGACAGAAGGACTGGCACCTCGCTGTGAAGTGGTGTCCATTGGAGAACCGACACCACTATTAGCGCCCGAGTCTCGCGATCTCGAGCGCCTTCGCTTCGGCGATGGTTCATCTGACTCATCAGATGAACCAAAGATGCTGCGACGCAAAGCATCGTCCATGCCACGCTTGGCAGGCGGCTTAGATTCAATCGCCGTCGATACGGATCCGTCATCCGTATCAGGAGAGTACGAGACACCGAGCTCGTACTCTGTGAAGACACGAGTGTCTTCATGACCAGCGCCTGCGTCACCAAGTGACACAGGCTGGGTCTCTTCAGCAACCGATGGGACATCAGTTGCTGTTGTTTCTGCTTCGGCGTCCGCACAGAGACGTGCAGACGCGCTCTCGGCGGCCTTGCTCGCGCATCGCATGGGCTTGTTAACCATGCGATGAAATGTTGGAAAGTGGACGCGGACCAACAAGTGCAAACCCTGTCCCAAATGATTTGGGACGAGTATCCATTTAGTCAATCAGTCACTAAAGTGACTGATGGTTAAGGGGGGGGTGATGTAACGGGGTGAATCGTTACATAACAATTTATAAGAAATTGTTAATAGAATATAACTATAAGAGTTATATTCTCAGAATATTGTCATAAGGACAAATATTCTGTAGCACTTCCAAGTAGTTCCTAATTGGTTGATATAGGCCATTATATCAACCAACGAAGACGCTCCACGACAGACGCACGCAATGAGTGGTGAGCAGATAACTGATTTACACATTTGTATTTAGACATAGTTAGATGAAGATAAATAGTGATTTATTGCAGACATTAACTATTATAAATACAGTTCTACTTTTTACTCTAACCAAGTACTCGCTTCTTCTTACCGTCTTCCTCTGCACGTACGAGTGTACGTGAAGTTACGAGGCACCGCCTTATTCTGTTATCAGAATAAGTAGCTTGTACTGTCACCAGTACAAGCTTCAGGGTGCCCCGTTACAGTACAGCAGTACTTGACGCCGTGTAGTCTCATACATTGAAGGCATGATGTGCGCTTTGGCACATAATAAACTTAATGGATTTTGGGGACATGCAGTTAGTGTAGCGGAGCTACTCAGCTCCTCAAGTCAGTGGAAGACTTAACGCTCTACGAGCAGCTTAGTTCTAAAAAACTAACGACTCTACGAGTCAACAAGCTTTACAGCTTCAGGTCCCTGTTCCAGGGGACCTAACGATTCAGTGAATCGATAGCACCTAGTGCTCAAGAGTAGCCACCTCAAGGAGGTGTTGCTAACTCTTAGTGATCACTGGTCAACGATCAAGACGGCTCGCAAGCCACGTGTCTTTTAGATCAAAATGGGAACTGATTTTATTTAATGTTAAAACTTAAAGAATATCTTAATCCTACTCAAAGATCTTTCTTACCTAATGGCTGACACTCATCAGCACCTACAAACCAATAAGATATTCTATATCACCCTTACAAGGGGTGCCATCAGGTGTGTAACACACCTGGTACAAAGTACCCTTTTACGTGCAACCCCGTCACACCCTCTCCCACCAGACTGACGTTTACCAAAACGTCAATCGAACTTGTGTTCCTAAGCGAGAACAGTGCGCGTACGGTAAAACTCACGGCAACGTAAGCTCTAGCACTATGTCCTCATCACCAAACGAGTCAAAGACTCTGTGTGACTACCTCGGAATAGAGGAGGCAGTGGACTATGGTAGCGATACCAGTGTCCAGGGTGATACAGGGACAATGTCCGACTCATTGATGCCTGAGGCACAACCTTCGAACAACTTAAGTCCGTTCTCTGAACGTGGAGATGCGAGCGCGCCACTGGTGCAGCATTCAACACCTGGTTCTGATGAAACTATCATCACGAACCCGCTCGATGAGCAAGAATAATTGCTTGTCCAACAAGAAGAAAACGCTCAGCGTCATGCACTAATGGTTGCAACCCTTGAGCGCCCGCGTGACTATGTGTTCACTCCACCCAGTGTGGAGGAACGTCTACATCAAGCAGCCGACCAAACATTGGCAACGTAGGTCATTGGCCATGGGCCTAAGACTCCCGAGGAGGTGGTGAGCTGCCAGGCACTTTGTGAAAGATACCTGGAGCCGCACCTAACGACTCAAAGTCAATACAAGGCACGCATTGACATGCGAGCAGGTGGTGCACCGGTTCCATCGATAAGGGGTATACCCATTCTCTTGGCCGCAGGCGACACAGTGAGCGAAGAAGACGATGCCTTCGTTTGCTGGGTGCACCATGTGCGTCACCTCAGCAATATGCTTGCTCTAAGGGCTAGTGCCCATGCGGCTGATGTGCGTCTCGAACGCAACCTTCGGTATGATTATGCCTAGCTTGAGGCCAGAGGCCAATTGCGCAAGCGCACGCGCTATGTTTCGGCTACTAAGGTAGCCGCGAGTGTTGGTCAGTCTGTGGCCAACAACCCGCCAACCCGCACCACTAGTGGTGGGGAACGGCCTCGGCCTCGAGACGACCATGGCCACGATGCTCAAAAGCCTCCAAAGCATATGGGCAGTCTTGCCGAAGGGGTACCTCAAATTCCCATGAGTTTTCAGACTCAGGGTACCCACGCCACTTTACCAGATACTGGTATTGGCCCTGACGACGACGTCGTTTCAGTAGTCTCTCGACATGAAATTGACGACACCCATGCTCATCGAGCAGAGTCGGTGGCGGCCGGTGTACCGGTGGAGGCCCACGAGAAATTGGTTCTCGAAGTGAAGGGTCTTCAAGAGGCCTTGGATAAGACCCAGTGCATGCTGGATGCGATGCAAAGCCACCTTCAGGCGATGGAGCAAGCTCAAATTAGGAGCGAGGCTCAGTTGGACTTGCTGATTCGTCTACATCAATCCGGTGCAATGCTCTTGTCGTCGGCGCAAGCGCCTTCAATTTCACATGGGAAGGATCCCGGTACGGCTTAAGTAAGCCTACGTAGACACTGGATGTGTGCGCAATTTGCGCGGAAGGTTTAGCTTATACGCAAGTCCCTTCTTAGCAGTGACCGTAAAAGGTCCAATAAAGCGTGGACGCAACTTAGTTTTAAAGACAGCAGACACTACGTTTGTAGGACAGATTTTTAGCATTGAGTAATACTTGGTCTCCGACCTTATAACGTTCAATACGATTCCTGCCTTTGGCATCAGCTTGTTGTTTTTAGTTATCTTGGCTATCAGCCATTACGTTGTGCACATGTCTTAAGACATTTAATCGCGTTGCGAGAAACTCGCCTACCTGTTTTTAGACAGTAGCAGGGCTGATATTATCAAGCCGATCGGCAACCTCTTCCCCACCAAGCCCTGAATCACGTATTGATATCGCTAAAGGAACCCTAGGGTGGTTGAGGTCGTTTATGTAAAACGGAGTAAACCCTGTTGAGGCATGAATAGCGTTGTTCAACGCAAACTCAACAACAGGGAGCATTGAGCTCCAACGCCTAGGCGTATTAGCGCAAACACTGCGCAAAATGTCATTAATGACGCGGTGAAAACGCTCAGTTTGACCATCGGTCTGCGGATGATCCGCGGTGGACATGTCCAACCAAGTTCCCAGCACCTTGAAGATAGACTTCCAAAACTTCCCAGTGAAGCGGGGTCTCTATCAGAGACCATTGCCCACAGGCAAGCCATGTTGACGAAACACACGGTCGATAAACAGCTTTGCTGTACCTTCAGCATCGATGCTATCCGGCACAGCCGCTAAGTGAGCCATCTTGCTCAATCGGTCAACAAAGACTACAGTACCAGTGTTGCCGTCCAAGTCTGTTGGCATACCAAACACAAAGTCCATGCTGATGGATTATCAACAACCCGTGGGTATTGGCAAACTAGCCAGCGGTGCAGCCATATGAGCGGAAGATCTAACGCATTAAAATTTAACACGTACGCACATATGTGCACACCCCTTTTTAAAATTTGGGCCACCAGTAGTGTTAGATGACCGAGCCATAGGTCTTCTCTCGACCGAGGTGAACGCTCAAAGCTGTATCATGCGCCTCAAAGAGGATACAATACTTCAATGTTTCATCTTAAGGTACTACGTTGCGCAAAGTATTCGCCGCATCCGTGCTATAGCACGATAGGCCATGATCGATGGAATATCGATGTAGCCCTGCACGCGAGCGTTCCGACAGTTTTTCCGGGTCTTTAAACTCATCACAACCGAGTGCGCGTAAGAACGCGACACACTGATCATCCTTTGCATATGAAGCACGGATTAAGGCAGTGACTGACGACGAAAGAGTCGTAACATGAGCAAGCTCATAATCCGGCCTGCGTGATTACGCATCGGACAAAGCATTTTGCTTCCCTGGTTTATACTTCACCTCGAAGTTATACTTAGCAAAGCATGAAAGCCAACGGGCCATACGTTGCGAGAGATGAGGCGACGGGTTCGCAGTGCGCAACGACGCATAATACGTGTAGAATACAACGGCTTGGAGCCAAGTAGATGTACTCTGAACTTGACAAGAGCGTACTTCGTAACAAATAACTCCTTGTCATGAACTGAGTAGTTCATTACAGCAGCTTTCAGATGCCGAAACTCTTACGCAATGACGCATTCATGTCCATCGACATCTGCATGTAACAGAGCACTGCCAGTGGCAAAGTCAGATGCATCACAGCCGACACTGAAGGGCCGATGAGGATCGGGCAAAGCCAATATTGGCGCGTGAAGGAGACCCTCCTTAGCCGCTTTCAAAGCATTGTGCTCGGTATGACCCCGACACTAATCCACATCCTTTTTAAGGAGATTGGACAATGGCCGAGCCATATTTGCTTAATTCGCACTGTACTTATGTAAGTTATTGGCAAGGCCAAGCCACTTGCGTAAGTCCTTTTGATTCTTAGGAACCGGCCAGTCGACTATGGCTTTTACCTTAGCGTGATCCGCTCGAAGGCCCTGCTTCCCAATGAAGCACCCTAGAAAGAGAATCTCTTCTGCACCAAAGATGCACTTAGATGCGTTAGCATACAACTTATCTGTCCGCATGCACTCAAGCACCGCTCGTAAATGATCACTGTGGTTATCCACATCTGATCGCCCATTCATTGCACGACTATGGACAAAAATGTCATCAAAGTACGTTTGTGCATAGCCTCGATGAGGTCTGAACAGCTGCGTTTCCAGCCGGTTAAACATAGCCGGGGCATTAGATAGTCCTTGTGGCATAACGAGCCACTCCCAAAGCTTGCGGCTCGGAGTACTCACCGCTGTTAGTGGAATACCTTACTCGCATGAGCAGTTGGTAATAACCATCGACTAAGTCGAGTGCACTGTACAATATACATCCTACCATTTTGTTCTGAAGAACATCCTTTCTAGGAAAAGGCGTCTGCGCCGGTATCGTGGCTGCATTAAGCTTATTATAAGCATGCACAATACGCCACTTGCCATTTGGCTTTCTGACACAAAATGTCGGTGTTGAATGGGGAGATTTACTCTCACGAACCATTCCATCCGCGTGCTTAGCACGAAAGAACTCGTCAATGAAGTCACACTGCTCTTTAGGCAAAGGCCACTGCCGTGTTACGCAGTACTTAGTTCCATGAACTAAGTCAATTTTATGACGTACACCTCTATCGGGAGGTAAGGCAGATGGTGGGTTGTGACACACCACATCTTAAAACTCTTTAATTAAAAGATAGAATGTATTTACAGGATCCTTTAGGATCGAAAATCCACTTCGTGTACTAAGTGCCGCCTTTGTATCCTATAGGACAGACTCATCCATTAACGAGGAAGAACTCAGCTCAATATCAGGTCTAATGACCGCTAACTCGGATAACTCTCCTGCCTTTAAGGCCTGGCTAAACTCGCCATTAGACATTTCGTCTAGCTCACAAAGAGCATCCAAAGATGGAAGGGTTTCAAGGCAAACACTGCCATCATAACGACCAGTCACTCCATTAACAAGTGTTTATAGTGTATTACTACCATCACAATGTGACTGTGTGGACGCCTGGCGCTGTAACAGTTGTCATACAGCGTCTCGATCGTCTCTTCGAGACCTTACACCCCTTAGGGTCGGGACAATATTGTCCCCATGGTTACTACTAATTATAGTACGCTATCCGAAAGCTTATGTCTTGACCGACATCCGGTGAAGTGTAACATAACTCGAACACTTCACCCAGTGGATTTAACCGTGCCACTACACGTGCATTATGCGGGTCCAGCCCTACGTCTCGCCAACAATGTCATTACCGACATTAGGTGTGGTGCCCTCACGGCCGCCCACACTAAATGGCGTATCGCCAACAATATCATTACTGACATTAGGTGTGGTTTCCTCACGGCCGCCCACACTATACGGCGTATCGCCAACAACGCCATTACCGACGTTAAGCGTGGTGCCTTCACGGCCGCCCACACTAAATGGCCTATGACCAACAATGTCATTGCCGAAATTAAAGGCGGTGCTCTCACGACCGACTGCACTCGGTGTAGTTTCACGTGCCACCACACAAACATCAAAGGAATTACATCCTCGATCACTCGACCCTAGGCCAACCATGCTTTCAGCATACAGTGACTCGTTATCACAACGAGTAACACTCAACGGAGAACGTGCCGTTTCACTAAATTAAGACGAGCTATGATCGAAGCTTATGTTTGTAACATTGGAGTTGGATAACTCAGACATTCCAATGTCCAGCACATTGACAATTTCTGTCAAAGGCTCACGCCAATAGCGCTTCTGTTGCCTAGCGAAGATGGTTTCATGACTCTCCAAAACTTTGCTAGGAACACTTTGCGTAGCGCTTAAGGTCTTTGACCTCCAATTAATCCATGGCTCATGGCGTTTAAGCCAAGCCATGCCTAGGATGAGATAATATCTCGAGTCTAAATCTAGGACAAGACAGCGCCCAATACTGTCAAAGTCTAATAACTTTATACCTAAGCTCAATGGAACCTTGGCACAGTAACACGACTTCCAGTCGCTAAACGAACCGTAATAGAATCACCCTCATGCGCAGTAAGCGCCTTAGTATAAAGCTGACTTTTCTCAAGGGAACGGTGTCGAGCATAATTGCAAGATGCTCCAGAATCGATCAATATCGACCAAGGCTTCTCAAAGCTCTTAATTTTTGCCTCGGCGACCAACAAGCCAGACTTGTATCCACGCACCATACCCGTAGGTTTGATACTCTTTGGGGCTAAGCCCTGCCTTCCTTTATTTCTAAATGTGTAACAGAACCTAGATCTTTCCCAGTAAGGCGCCCCGCGCCTACTGGGTGTCGGCATTTCCCCGTGTCATGCCAGACTTCTGACTCGGGGTCGAGTGTTGGCTCGTAGCCTGGCGTTGTTTACGCAAAGGGCAACCAGGCTGCAAGTTTTTAGTGCTTCCAAACATAAAACATCGTCGTATGACGCGTTGCTGCTCAGCAGCTTGAAGCTCAGCTTCACCTTCATCTTCAGCATAGCTGAGATACATCGGTTTGGCCTATTCTAGGCAGTGGTACCCGAAGAGTTTGCTCTCACAGAGCAAGAATTGTATCCATTCCAACCAAGTCTGGCCGACTTGAAGTTATGCTCAGCATTAAGAGCAATTCTCACAGCCTCTTCAAACGTAGAGGGGTGAACCCGAAAAACCTCGGTTCTGGCAATGCCAGTACGTAGACCTTCCATGAAGATAGTCACATGTACTGCCTCAGGCACAGAGTCGGCCTGCATTGCAGCCATGAGCGTTCGCAGCTCTTGGACATAGTCCGAATATTCATGCTTACCCTGGGGAGGGGGGGGTAGACAAAAAGCGTGTTTGCACGTGGTAAGCTTGATCAGGTGGTGAGAACACCTGTACCAGATGTGACTTCAGCGACTTCCGTGAGGGAAACGATGTGTCCACCGATGTGCTACATGTCAAGGCCCATTTTCTAGCTCTTCCATCCAGCTTCGAGATAGCCAGCGATACCTGTTGATGTTCAAGCGTGATCGAACCTGATCTCTTGGCCATCTCTATCTCACGGATCCAGAGGATAAGGTTTTCACCCTCCTTACCGGAGTAGTTCGTAATTTTCACTCTCAGTGGGTGAGGCCTAACCTCTTCGTCTGGTACAGACACCTAGCGTGTAGGCAAAACCGACGCTACTCGGTCCTGAGCCTGCCCTAGAACGGTCGCTTCGTACTGCATGAAGCCTTCAACACGTGCATCTAGCACCTCAAAACCTTAAAAAAACAAGGAACTCCACGTACTCTGGACCCAAAGATGCGGTCAGCTTATCAAGCGTGTCCCTTTAGGACTCAAAGAGGGGAGTGGGGTTTTCCATTCTCACAGACGATCAGTCTTCAAGACTCAGGCGTAGATTGACTACAAGTGCTACCAAGTGTAGCGAAGCTACACAGCTCCTCAAGTCAGCGGAAGACTTAACGCTCTACGAGCAGCTTAGTTCTAAAGAACTGTCGACTCTACGAGTCAACAAGCTTTACAGCTTCAGGTCCCAGTTCCAGGGGACCTAACGATTCAGTGAATCGACAGCACCTAGTGCTCAAGAGTAGCCACCTCAAGGAGGTGTTGCTAACTCTTAGTGATCACTGGTCAACGATCAAGACGGCTCGCAAGCCACGTGTCTTTTAGATCAAAATGGGAACTGATTTTATTTAATGTTAAAACTTAAAGAATATCTTAATCCTACTCAAAGATCTTTCGTACCTAATGGCTGACACTCATCAGCACCTACAAACCAATAAGATATTCTATATCACCCTTACAAGGGGTGCCATCAGGTGTGTAACACACCTGGTACAAAGTACCCTTTTACGTGCAACCCCGTAAAGAAAGAATTTACGTTAAAGCACCAATATCGGGTTCATGTGAATTGCCTCCAGCCATGCTTTACAAGGCAATGTTATCGTATTTGTACAATTGGTAAACTGTGACATGCCCTTTCACATAATAACGTACGTGTTAAGAGGTTACGTATCGTAGGGTACTCGGTACCCTATGTCATATACACACGAAATGGCTTCCCACTAAAAGAGATATAGAAAATATCTTATCGGTTTATAGGGGCTGACGCGTGTCGGCCACAAGATTAAAAAAGATCTCAAAGATATTAAATTAGGAAAGGAGTGCCTAGATTAGGAACTATTAGGATTAAGGTATTTCTTAAGGTTAAATGCAAATAAGTTTAGTTCTGCTTTTGACCTTGTCCAGACACGTGCCTTTCGAGGCGTCTCTGCTCGTTGATATTTAGCGAAACCTCCCTGAGATAGACACTATTGAGCACTAAGTGCTGTAGATTCACTAAATTGTTCGGTATTCGGAAACAGGAAGCAGCGAGGCTACACAGCTCTTTTAGTCAGAGGAAGACTTATTTAGCAAGCCAACGGCTTACGGCTGACAGCCTATTAGTTCTGCGGAACTAATACATCAAGTAAAGAGTCTCCCATTTCTACGGAATGCGGGTGGACTCTACGAGCTAACAGCTCAACTACTGTGTAGTTCTAGAGAACCACAAGCACAATGTGCAGGGGGATAGGAGTCTGAGGACTCTTTAAGCTACGTCCGTTCTAAGGAACTGTCAAACGCAAGGTGCGAAAGGGGGGGGGAGTCTAGGGACTTCTGCTCAAAATGGGAACTGAACTTTTTTTGGATTTAATATCAAGATTAATCCTACTTTAAGTACCCTATATTATGTTAAACTAGAACTACTACAAATACTAGTATTCGAACTAATTGGATGGTTGGCACTTCACTCAGTCATCAAATGATGACGGTACAAAGTACGTACACGGTAAGTACCGAAAACCTGGGAATATAGATCAATCGACATTCTCTTGCTGATACAAAAACTAAGGTCACACACATCCATTCCATATCATTTATGGGAGGTCTTTGATCAATTTTGCCAATGGCTAGTGTGAGCCCGTTACACCCTCCCCCACCAGACTGACGTTACCACAAACGTCACTCGACTCATTCTATCATTGAAACTTGTTACAAAGTAGCACACTCACATGGACCGACCTGGAAAACTCCTGAAAGGTAAGGCTCTAGCCGATTCCTTGGTGTCGAAAACGTGACCTATTACAGTGGTAGTAATGCCAATGTCGAGGGGGAGAGAAAACCCAAATTAGCACACCTATGCGTGAGGACATTCCCCATCCGGCATTTAATCCGTTCCCCGAACGTAGTGTCGCGACTGCGCTAACAGCGCTGAGAGCTATGTCCCACATGGATACATCCATTATCACTAGCCCGCTTGATGAGGAGCAACAACGCAGGCTCGATAAGCGGCAGGCGCACGGCGCAAGTCAGAAGTTCTGCCAAAGCTGCGACGACGCAGTGAAAATAAGTAAAAATACGTTCACTCCACGTAGCGTGGAAGAACTGATTCGTCAAGCGTCACGCCATACTTTGGCAACGTGGGCTACCGGCCCCGAGGCGAAAACGCCACTGAAATCGAATGTCGCAAGGCATTTCGAGAGAGGAACTTGGAACCTACTGTGGTCAATTTGATTTAATACAGAGATTGGCTGCAAAAGCAGGCATAAAGGAACACCGGTTCCACAAATTAGGGGTAAATCATCATTTTGTCCAAGGATGGGGACGAAACTGCAGAGGATAATAAGGTCATCCGCTGGGCGCACGGCGTTCGACGCCTCAGTAGCATGCACGCGCTACGCGAAAGTGCCAGTGTGGCAGACATTCATCTGGAGCGAAGGCCTTGCTATGAAATCGCGAAGTTAAAGGCCAGAGTACGTATGCGGGCAGTACCACGTTCCCGCTATGCTTCGGCTGCTTCTGCAGCCGCAAGTTCACGTCAATCTTTTGACACAAACTCGCCTCCTCTCACTACGACAAGTGAGAAGCTTTACACTCGTCAAGACGAGCTCGGCCGTGGCGCTTAAAAACGTCGATGATGTATGGGCAGTCTTGCCGAAGGGGAATTTCATACTACCATGAGTTTATAGACTCAGGGTACCCACGCCACTTCACTATATAATGGTAGTGACCATGACGACGACGTCGTTGAAGTACCCGCTCCACTTAAAGCTATAAGTTCACTTGCTTATCAAGCAACGCCGGTGGCGGTCGTAGTATCAGCTGAAAGCCGTGCTGAGCTGGTGAAGAAAGTGGAGGATCTCTGTGAGACCCTTAGTCAGACTCGGAACGCCCTGGGCGAAGCCCGATCTCGTTTGGCGACTTCGGAAGACGATCGCGCCCGTCTTCAGATTTTAGGTTCTTCAGACTCGTGTCGAGGCTCAACTTGACCTCTTAATTCGGACGCAAAATCCCGTGACAACGCCAATGTACGCGGCGCAAGCGCCTTCGAGTCAACACGGAACGGGTCCCGGTATGAATTAAGCAAGCAGACATAAATGACAAGATGTGTACGCAATTTGCGTGGCAGGGTAAGCGTATACGCAAGGCCCTTCTTGGCCACGGTCGTAAAAGGTCCAACGTGGCGCGGACACAACTTCGATTTGATAAATAGATGAACCTACATTTGTAGGTAGATTTTAGCGTCTTGCAAGACTTGGTCTCCGACCTCATAACTTTCAATACAATTTCTTCCTTTGACATCTGATTGTTCCTCTTGTTTATCTTGGCTATGAGCAATTGCGTCTCGCACATGTCATAAGACTTTTAACCTTGGTGCACGGAACTCATTAACCTGCTTCTGAACAGTGGTAGGGCTGACATCAGCAAGCCCATCTGCAATCCCCTTCCCATCAAGCCCTAAACCACGGAGTGGTAGCGTCAATGGGACGCGTGGTTGGGTGAGACCGTTCACAAAGAACGGGGTGTAGCCAGTCGAGGCATAAACCGAATTGTTCATGGCAGATTCGATCACCGAAAGCATAGAGCTCCAACGCCAAGGCGTATCAGCGCAAACACTGCACAAAACGTCACCAATGACACGATTAACACGTTTAGTTTGACCATCGGTCTGCGGATGATCCGCGGTGAACATGTCCAATCTGGTGCCGAGCACCTTAAAGATGGACTTCCAAAACTTCCCCGTAAAGCGAGGATCTCGATCCGAGACTATTGCCAAAGGCAAACCGTGTTGACAAAACAGGCGATCGATGAACAGCTGTGTTGTACTTTCACCATCAATCGAATCTGGTGCAGCCAGTGAATGAGTCATCTTACTCAAACGGCTAACAATGACCACAGTACCAGTGTTACCGTCCAAGTCTGTTAGCATACCAAACACAAAGTCCATGCTGATGGATTATCAACAACCCGTGGGTATTGGCAAACTAGCCAGCGGTGCAGCCATATGAGCGGAAGATCTAACGCGTTAAAATTTAACACGTACGCACATATGTGCACACCCCTTTTTAAAATTTGGGCCACCAATAGTGTTAGATGACCGAGCCATAGGTCTTCTCTCGACCGAGGTGAACGCTCAAAGCTGTATAATGCGCCTCAAAGAGGATACAATACTTCAATGTTTCATCTTAAGGTACTACGTTGCGCAAAGTATCCGCCGCATCCGTGCTATAGCACGATAGGCCATGATCGATGGAATATCGATGCAGCCCTGCACGCGAGCGTTCCGACAGTTTTTCCGGGTCTTTAAACTCATCACAACCGAGTGCGCATAAGAACGCGACACACTGATCATCCTTTGCATATGAAGCACGGATTAAGGCAGTGACTGACGACGAAAGAGTCGTAACATGAGCAAGCTCATAATCCGGCCTGCGTGATTACGCATCGGACAAAGCATTTTGCTTCCCTGGTTTATACTTCACCTCGAAGTTATACTTAGCAAAGCATGAAAGCCAACGGGCCATACGTTGCGAGAGATGAGGCGACGGGTTCGCAGTGCGCAACGACGCATAATACGTGTAGAATACAACGGCTTGAGCCAAGTAGATGTACTCTGAACTTGACAAGAGCGTACTTCGTAACAAATAACTCCTTGTCATGAACTGAGTAGTTCATTTCAGCAGCTTTCAGATGCCGAGACTCTTACGCAATGACGCATTCATGTCCATCGACATCTGCATGTAACAGAGCACTGCCAGTGGCAAAGTCAGATGCGTCACAGACGACACTGAAAGGTCGCTCCGGGTATCGCAAAGCCAATATTGGCGCATGTAGGAGACACTCCTTAACAGCTTTATAAGCTTGTGCCTGAACGAGTCCCAACACCAAACCGCGTCCTTTTTAAAGAGGTTGGTTAATGGCCTTTCCATGTCAGCGTAATTCGCACTGTACTTGTGTAAGTAATTGTCTAAACCAAGCCATTTACGCAAGTCTTTTGGGTTCGACGGAACAATCCAATCCACAAAGGATTTAATTTTAGCGGGATCTGCCCGTAGGCTGCGCTTTCAAATGAAGCAACAAATAAAGGGATTTTCTTCAGTAACAAAAATGCATTTAGATGCATTTGCATACAACTTGTTGGTGCGCATGCACCCGAGCACTGCTCGTAAATGATTAATGTGATTTTCCACATCTGATCTTCCTTATTCTGCACGGCTGTAAACAAAAAAAAGTCATCAAAATAGCTGTGTGCGTATCCTATATGGGGGCGGAATAACTGCGTCATGAGTCGATTAAAGGTTGCGGGGGTATTAGAAAGTCCCTTAGGCAAAACAAGCCGCTCAGCGTGCAAACCGCTGTGAGCGGGATATCACTCGCTCGCATAAACAATTGGTAAAAACCATCGACTAAGTCGAGTGCGCTAAACATGGTGCAACCCACCATAGCGTTCTGAAGAACGTTCTTTCCAGGAATAGGTGTCTGCGCAGGTATAGTGGCCGCATTGATCTTTTTTAAGCGTGCACAATACGCCACATACCATTGGGCTTTCTGACACAAATATCGGTGTCGAGTGTGGAGATTTGCTCTCCCGCACCATGCCTGCCGCGTGATTTGCACGAAAGAACTCGTCGATGAAGTCACTCTGTTCCTTAGGCAATGCCCTTTGCCGTGTGACACATTATTTGGTCCCAGGGACCAGGTCAATTTCATGACGCACATCTCTGTCGAGAGGTAGAGTGGATGTTGGATCATGTCACACCACGTCCTGAAATTCTTTTACCAAAGGGTAGAGGGGATCCGGAGGATACTTTAAATTGGCAGATCCACTGCGAGCACTGAGTGCAACTTTAATGTCCTCAAGGACTGTATCATCTACAAGTGATGACGAGCTCAACTCAATATCAGGTCCATGGACCACCTTTTCGGACAGTGCACTAGCTTTTAAGGCTTGATAAATTTCATCTACAGACATTTCGTCCAGCTCTAGCAGAGCATTAATCGATGGGAGGGCCTCGAGGCCAACTTCTCCATCAATCGCACCCGACGCCCCATTGACTAACGTGTGCAACTGTTCACTAGTGTCCTTCTGGGTCATGGCAGCAGCCTTTCTTTTCACAGCCGCCATATGGCGTCGCTGTCGTCTTTGTGCACAGATTGAACACTTCAACGTGCTAGGAACATCCGGTTCCACGAAATGAAGATTATCTTTAAGCTGATCCTGCTCTCTCTAATAGCAAATGTCATTACCGACATTAAGCGTGGTGCCCTCACTGCCGATCTCATTCTGTGGACAGTTATGTACTTTTTCGCATCAGGTGAGCATGGCTCTGAAGGACTTAACGCTTCGCCAATAATGTCATCACTGATATTTAACAGGGTGTCATCACGGCCGACCTCACTCTGTGGATTTGTACGTGCCACTGCACTCGCATCTGTTGAGTGTAGCTCTTGATGCCTTGGCGCATCGCCAAAAATGTCTTCACCGACATTTTGCGGAGTGCCATCACGGCCGACCTCACTCTGAAATGTTTACGTGCCACTCCACGCGCATCACAGGGATCAAACCCAGGATTACTCGGCTTTAAGCCTTCAATGCTTTAAGCATTCAGTGATTCACTGTCATTAGTAGTGTTACTTAACGGAATACGTGCCGTTTCAATATTATCAATGATGTCGGATTAACTAGCTCAGTCACTCCAATGTCAAGCACACCGACAGAATCCGTCAGTGGCGCTCGCCAATAGAGCTTTTGCTGCCTAGCAAAGGTGGGTTCATGACTCTCCAAGTCTTCACTAGGAACGTTGCGCGTTGCGCCTAAGGTCTTCAACCTCCAATCAACCCATGGCTCATGGCGTTTAAGCAAAGCCATACCAAGGATGAAATAATTTCTCGAGTCCAAATTCACGACAAGTCAACGTTTAAAACTATGTGGATCTAAAAAATTTACACCTAAGTTCAACGGAACTTTAGGTTGGATGACACGAGTACCTGTCGCTAAGCAAACAGCGATAACATCAACCTCATGCGCTTTCAGCGAGTCAGCATATTGCTGACATCCTTCTAGGGACCGGCGTCGAGCACAGCTTCCTGAAGCTCCAGAGTCAATCAAAATTGACCACGGATCTCTAAAGCCCTTGATCTTAGCTGAGGCCACTAACAATCCTGGCTTATACTCACGTCTCGTAAAAACTTCCACAAGACCGTCTGGGGCTAAGCCCTGTTTATCTTTACCACCTAAAGATTAGGCAGAACCTAGTTTCTTCCCATTAGGGCGCCCCGCGCCTACTGGGAGTTGCCGTTTTTCCGCTCCGATCAATTTCGGGTCAGGAGGCGGATTGCGGCTCGGCCGACTTTGACGCGACTTCCGTAGTGGGCACTGAGGGCGCAAGTGCTTGGTACTCCCGCACATGTAACATCTACGGATGTTCAGTTGCTGTTCAACAGCCAGAAGATCTATCTCTTCTTCTTCAGCGTGGCTGAGGTCTATGGGCTCAGCCTCGTCAAATGATCTTCGGGCCTGCCCATGAGTGCCATAGCTAGCGGCTATAAAGTTGAACCCAGCATTTAACGCTATGTATACGGCCACATCAAAACGTTGAGGGGTGGACAACGAAGACTTCCGTCCTCGCGATCCCCGTACGGAGGCCCTCCATAAAAATGGTGACACGGACTTTCTCTGGAAGAGGGTCCAGCTGCATAGCTTCGAACTCTTGGACGAAGTCAAATTATTCCCTCTTTTCCTGCCTGGCGGCTAGGAATCGAGAGCGAACACGATACGATTAATCCGGTAGCGCGAACACCCGAGACATATCTCGTTTAAGCGAATCCCATGTGGGAAACGCAGCGCTAACCGACGTATCACAGGTAAAAACCCATTCTTTGACTCTACCACCGAGCTTAGAATTGGCTAGGCCAGCTTTCTGTAGATCCGATTAAAGCAAGGCGGCTTCAATAGCCGTATCAATTTTTCGGATCTAGAGGGGGAGACTTTTCTCCTCTTTCTCCTCGAAAGTCTTAACGCTAAGAGTAAGAGGATGAAACTTTGACTCACTGTCAGGTACTGGGAAGTACCGTGCAGGTACGGCTGAGGCTAAATGGTCGTGGACCTGCCCTATCAGCGTAGCCTCACTCTGCATAAACGCATCACGACGTGCATAAAGCACTTCTGGGCCTTGGGCCACAATGTGGTCGTTCTACTCGACCCCATTTACGATTTAAGCTAATCAAGTGCGATACGTTGAGCCTCAGAGATGTAGTCAAGACCCTCCATCTCTCACGGAGGATTAGTCGAAATGACTTAGGTGTAGAATTGACTACAAGTGCTACCAAGTGTAGCGGGAATACACAGCTCTTTTAGTCAGAGGAAGACTTATTTAGCAAGCCAACGGCTTACGGCTGACAGCCTATTAGTTCTACGGAACTAATACATCAAGTAAAGAGTCTCCCATTTCTACGGAATGCGGGTGGACTCTACGAGCTAACAGCTCAACTACTGTGTAGTTCTAGAGAACCACAAGCACAATGTGCAGGGGGATAGGAGTCTGAGGACTCTTTAAGCTACGTCCGTTCTAAGGAACTGTCAAACGCAAGGTGCGAAAGGGGGGGGAGTCTAGGGACTTCTGCTCAAAATGGGAACTGAACTTTTTTTGGATTTAATATCAAGAAAAATCCTACTTTAAGTACCCTATATTATGTTAAACTAGAACTACAACAAATACTAGTATTCGAACTAATTGGATGGTTGGCACTTCACTCAGTCATCAAATGATGACGGTACAAAGTACGTACACGGTAAGTACCGAAAACCTGGGAATATAGATCAATCGACATTCTCTTGCTGATACAAAAACTAAGGTCACACACATCCATTCCATATCATTTATGGGAGGTCTTTGATCAATTCAGCCAATGGCTTGTGTGACCCCGTTTCAAGGGACCTTGAGCTATACCCTTGCTGTCTCGTGTCTTTTAGTTCGCTACAACTAATATCTCTCTTTCAGCACTAAGTCTTTCTTTGACGTTATGAGCTGTGTAGCTCGTCTACAGTGCGTGCATATTAGCTGAACTGAATTAATGGACTGAAGCCTTAAATTAATATCTTCCAACAATAGGCCGCCGCCAATGCTGAAGGTTTACCAACCTTTTTAAATATTACCTGTTACTCTAAGTTTTAGTGGACTATTGGGCACTTCTGATTTTTTTTTAAATTTAAATTTATATATTTTGTTAAAAATAATTATGAAAAATAGAAGTTTAAAGTTGAAATTCATCACTAAAAAAGTGTCTTTCTCAAAATTATAATTTTTAAAATTAATTTTTTTCATGTTTACTTAAAAACAATAGAATATTTATCAAAAATGTATTTTTAATCCTATTTGTTAATTTAAACATTTTCCATTCTTTATCAAAAAATCAGATGAATTTTTTTAATCAATGACGTCATCGAGTAAGTACTAGTGGAGGCTTTTCCTAAATGTGATGTGTATCATGAACTTCGTAGAACGGCACACTTACATTCGCAGTTATGTTTGTTAGAAAAAGCGTTGTCCGGTTGCTTGCGTAAACTGTAAATTTGACTTTACATTTAGCATTTTAAGTATACTCTCGGGCATATGTCCATGAGTATAATTTAAACCAACTTATACTAAGTTGCCCACATCGATCACGTACTCTTGTACCTGCACACCTCAAAAATGCTTTACTGTATACTTACGCACCCCGTGTAACAGGGTAGCCCGTTACATGATATTGACGCCAAAACGGTGTCAACATGGAGATTGTCTATCGTGACAATTCCCTACCAGTATTATCCGAGATTGACAATATTAAAAGAATACTATCCCCCTGTATGATAATATTCATGTGCTGCTCAAAGATTGGTTGATAAAAGACACAAGCAAAAATCACCACCAATCGCTGCTAGACCCGCGTAATATGTGGTGAGTAGGTTGTCGTCATGCGACGACGTAGTTTAGTATAGTTAGACAAAGATTTAAGTTATATTGGTTGCTTAACTTTATAAAATACAGTTCTATTTTACCCTTTACTCAAATTAGCTGTTTGAGTAGATTAGCTTCCTCTGCACGTACTAGATAACGTGAATTTTTGAGGCACCCCAAACAAAGGGTGCCCTGTTGCATTGCATGCATGATCTGCTCAATCAAATTTAGCAGGCGCCATTATTAAAACGGTCATAGAACCAAAAGGAAAAATAGCATTGTCGTGCTTTGTGAGATAAAAATGTGTCCAGAGCATTTCTAGAAACAGGCTTTCTAAGATAGGCACGTCCTTTTGTGGCTGATGTGCGAGATGTATAAATAGGACTTAAGCACGTAACGCTATTACTAAGGGTTCAATTGTCGGTACTGTCGTGGATGCACATGCGTGTGGTAAGTATAGCAGCTCCCTAAATGTAAGAGTATGGCTCCGTCCCCTACCGCCCCATCCCGCGTGTTTCGCATATCCCTTAAGCTGTAGTTGTCTACTAGTAGATAACGTCGAGGCTCTGTAAATCATCCTACGATCTTGATTTTTTACGGGAATCATAAAAGCGTAAAACGAAAGCGTCATCTCCAGCATATGTGACTATCATCATATTCAGTGTTCATTGTCATAAGCTAACCTTTCTAATAAGGTTTGCATACAGGCATAATAGATGCTTGTAAAGAGAATTTTATTGCCCCTAGCGACGATCTGATGTACGCCCTTAGCCAACTATGGACTTGCGACTTCAATATATGTGATCGTACTTTTTGGACGTGTTTATCCGAATCATCACCATGCAAATTGCCTGAGGATCTAGACACTCGTCGTAAAATTGAGCTTAAACCGGGCTCAAAGTACTGTTTCATGATGAGTGGCCACTGCCTCGTAAACAAATACTTGCAATCGTTAAGTACTTTTTCCGATCGCACAGCGGCTGGTCACGTGAGAGAATCAACATCCCCACACAGCTCTCCGACTTCCGTGTGCGCAAGACCCCAGGAGGATGGCGGATAGCGCACGCATTCAAAAGATGAATGATGCAACGTAACCGGCATGAACGCCGATACCGAGGAAAGACGTCTTTATATATGGTGTGTCAACGAGTACCATCTTTTCGTCCATGGATCTAATAGATGGCTTCAATCCGATCCCAATGCGTGAACGGGACTTCCCGTACACAGCAGTGATCAATTCCATTAATATGCTCTGGAAGTGGCTAGTGATGCCACAGGGGCTAAGTAATGCCCTAAAAACGTTCAACAGATGTGTTACAGATCTGTTGCTATCGGTTCTCGACTTCGCACCGAGTTACTTTGACGAGATGTTCGTCCATAGCCGGGCTACGGATGGAAAGACGGACGTGTAGGGTCAGAGAACACACGTTCGTCAGGTTCTTACAGTATCCGGTTAGTTTGGTCCATCTCGCGGCAGCATAGGAGCAGTCCCAGAAAGATTGCGCCAAGGTCTCCACACACCCCGTACAGCCGGGTTGCTTTGGACAATTTTTGCTCATGAGTCGCCCTCCACGGTGCAAATTAGGTTGCTAGGTGGCGACCAGATATCCGGTCCAGACTTGATAAGCCGTTAGGCATTGGCTATGGTCCCAAACGTGCGTCGGCGTTCGACCGAGCGCCGCGCGTTGCCATTCGTCTTGCCCCGACCGTTCATCAAGACGATCCAGAAAATTCCCCATGGGAGGGATCTACACTTTTTGTGATACCAGATAGCTTGCCGTTTGTGCGCCGCTTAAACGAAACGAATTGGCATTTATTCGGGACTGCCCACGGGAATATGTGGAGGTGTGGTTGCACCTCAAAAACATGGCGTTGTAACTGCAGTTGTTGGCTACACGCCCGCCGTTCGGCAGAAGACCCATCGGCCAGCTATGAAATGAGTCCTTTGCACAACCAGTGCAATCCACCGGTCCCTCGGTACAGCGTTATAGTCTGCAGTACAGCCCGCTCAATACCCAAGGGTCATCCCGTGATGACGCCGTCGCGAACCAGCGACCAAACATAGGACGCTAGAACTGGCTGAGCGTGACGTAGGCGTGGGGCCCGAATCCGGCAGAGACTCGATCCTGATCTGATTTTCGGCGATGAGAGCAGAAGAAATGTTGCCCACCACTGTAATTTGGCGTTTAGGTGAAGTCTTGATTAATTAGCAGGCCTCGATATGGTCAGAACATATTCTGTGGGCCCCGTGCGAGCGAGGCCGAGTTGTTTTAGCGTGCCCGCCGCGACCCGATAATATACGGATTCGGTCAACACATTGCCGCTGTGATCTCTGATCCAAGGATTGTTCGACCAATTGAATGTGAACCAGAAACTAACGATCTCTTCCGGCATATCATCGGCGCCCATCGTTCGAGTTGAAACCTGGGTGGGATAATTTCGGCCGAATTCTTCTCCGTCCCACCAGCTAGCTGCCCCATTCAGCTAATCCGCTGACTGCTTTGCAACCCACTCACTCAATCGAAGTTGCTGATCCGGAATTGGTGCCAACCGCTCCCCCAGAGAGATACGTAAGTTCACCCCAGGAATAGAGCGATGCCTAGGTGTCGACCGGTGCAGCGCCGCACCCGAAATCACCTGCCCGGCCGTAGCCTGCAAAAAACCGCGAAAGACCCAGATGCACCAGGCTTTGAAGTACTTGTCCTATCGTTGGGTAAACCAAAGAATGACATGCTTGTTCCGTTGTGTTTTTCTTGCGGCCGAGACATCGGCAACACCAATATTCCCCGCATTCCAAGGTGTTTCGAATAGCCCCGGGTTAACCTTATGGCGCCGTGCGTGTGTCGAAGTAGCGTGTGCCCACAAAAATTGCTTGTAGAGATTGTGCAGCTCCTTTTCAACCCACAGCGGAGTGTACAAAATGCTCGCTGTGAATAACACGGCAGGAAGTACGATGGACTTTTAATGATAACTCTGTTCTCCACACTAGTCGCGATCCGAGTTGCCGTTAAGAGACGTCGTTGAATCTTCAGAATCCGAAGGGCCCAATTCCTGTTCTCTGATTCTCCGGTACCAATTTCGTATCCCAGGTACCTGTTAGTGCCTCCATGTAGCACGACTTCGACCCCCTCGTAGCGCTCGACATTGCTCGCCGTGCTAAGAAAAATGAATTTGATTTTATACAATTGTACCTGCAAGTCTGCCAGTGCGCCTAATGCATTGACAATGCTTAAAGCGTGCGGACTTTTTCCGGCATTTGCGAGAAAAAGCGTGGAGTCGTCTACGAACACTGAGAAAAGGTGCATGTGGACAGAAATTCGAGGCGCTTCCAACCCCTTCAGTGTTCTTACCTGCTAAAAAGCGCTACTGAGCACCTCACCACCAACAAAATAAGAGCGACGCGAGCGGACATCCCTGCCCTATTCTGGAGCGTACCGGGAGTGCCTGCGACTGGCATCTGTTCACCACAAAGCGTGCGGATGACCTAAATAGATGCGTTGCATCAGGTCAAAAAACCGTTCGTCAAATCCGAATATGCGTAAAGATTCGTACAGGAAATTGCGATCCAATGTATCGTACGCGTTTCGAAAGTCCAAGAGTAAGATACAACGGCTCTGTTCGGCTGGCGTGTCAATCTGCCGTTCTGCCGTCGAAAGCTAAGCCATCATCATCATGACAAATTTCGATATATGGCGCCCATGGACAAAATCTTGCTGCGAATTGCCAATGGCCCGGGGTAACGAGTGTTATAATCGGGTAGTCAGCACCTTCGAAAAGACTTTTTAGCTAGTCTGTAGCAAGGCAATTGTTCTATTACCTATCGCGTCGTCAGAGTAACCGATTTTTATTCGAGGGATAATACGGGATCAACGAAAGAAGCAGGAAGCTTGACCCCGCAAGTATATAATTGCAGGTGATGATGAGAGCCGGGACCATAAGCGCTGTCGTATCCTTGTAGAAATCTTTGTTTAACCCATAAGGGCCAGCCGATTTACGGCTATTGAGCCGGACGATAGCTTAAAGCACCTCGGCCTCCGTAAAGGGACTGAACAGCCGCTCATTGTCGTCCGTCGTGAGGCGCTGCCCCGGTGGCACGGACGCAAATGCCCGCATCTCAGATGATGATAAGGGAAGTGGCTCGGTCCGATGACTCCTGCTGAGCATTGGCGTCCATGCAGACGCAAACTTATCAGCAATAGACAGTGAGCGCGGAAATGCCGGTCCGTGACGTGCCTGCAGAGAAGTAAATTTTTCATCTCGTATCCAGTTTGCAATTCGCTAGTAGGACCACCTTAGACGCTCCGTCAATCGCGTCCAAGTCTCCCTCAGACGAGCAAGGTGGTTGTCCTTCATCTCATCGATACTGGCCTATATCTAGTGCCGTCTGGTGAGAATAGGCCGTCGGTTGCGATTCTGTAGTGTAGCCACGCAGCTTCTTCCCCGCTGCTTTCTCGTTTCCGCACTACCGTAATGTAGTGACAGCTCCCTGCAATACGGGCATTCCACAAATGGGTCGTGGGGTCAAGGTCCACTCCCATGTTTTTGATTCCCTGATAACGGCTGTCACAACTCGGTCCGGCCTGTTCGACCGGATAGGATAGATCACGCGCCGCCTCTACTGTAGCCGCACACCCAATTTTTTACCTTAAAGATGAACAACCACTTGCTCGTGATCTGAGTAAGTAGGTTTCGGAACCGTTGAGCCCGGAGGACATCAAGAGCCCAGTCTTGACAACATCGAATTTGTAAATCCTGCTAGCCGTCTGTGGTCCAGTACGTAAAATGATGGCTTTTATCGAACTCATCTGCGTCAGCATAATCCCGGAGAAGCCGGGCGTCACTCATGGCTGTCATTTCCAACAGTGAGCTAAGCGCCGGAATTTCTAGACGGCTAGCGGACCGTGGGCCCAACGTATCCAGCTGCTAATTTTGAAAACAGTTAAAATCTCTCAGCAGGATGATACTCTTGGACGACATGTCCCAGCCGTAGAGCCTTTAAATAATTCTTTGTGCTACGCCCGTACGTTTGGCGCGTGGATGTTAAGTAGGAAAATGTTGTGAAGTTGCACCCCACTGCTTGTGAAGTCCATTTAACCTCTTACGACTGTGCAGCAGACGCCGCAGTGGTAGATATCAGAATACCGACCTCTCGAGACTTCGATGAACCAACACTCCAAAATGAATTGTCGCTTATTCCGAATTCAGCTGTTTCCCCCATCCGTCGCCATTCCAGAAGTAGAACATCTGCATCATCCTCGATGGCCACGTTTATTTCCTGTATGCACTATGCCAGCGGGCGTCTTCTCGCCGGTTTTTGGCGCCAGGCAGTCATCCACTCCTTCCGTGTCCCCTCCGAGAAACTACGCACATTTTCAGTAAGAAGCCTCCGATCCGTCCGTCGCTTTGGTGAACAATTGCGTGGTTCGGAATCCGATTTGAAGCGATGTAACAAAGTGTGACGCCCATAGGCATCGGCACTCCGAAACTCCGCCCCACAGTACCGTTATGTGAAATGATCCCGTAAATTGCCCTTAGTATTAGAGTTGTTCTTCCTCCTGTGCACATGCAAGCGAGGTGTAAAATTACCTCTCAATCGCCGCCCAATCCCCTACTTGTGTGGATGTGTAGTAGGCTTCCTTTTACCTGGTGTTGGTTAAGATAAGCCGCATATGAGCTCGTGTTTTGTCCTGCACCCCTGGACTGGAGGGCACCCCATCGACTAGAGCTGCAATTTTATGGTCGTAGAGAAGTGCGCATAGCAAGTGGTGACATAACCGGGTTTGAAGGCGAGGATCACAAAGTCTAAGCAGTTCGTCTCCAGCATAATTGCTAGCTTCTAGTTTGTTCCAATCCTCCGAACTGTCCAGTAGCGGCGCTAAGATGGAATTCCCCGGATGCCGCGCCTTTTCGAACCATCCATCTACCCAGGCTTGCGTTAATCGATCTAGTGGCGTTGCGCGATAGCGCAGCAACGAGGCCTCTACACACGCCCGCCGACTCTCTTTTATCCATAGGACAATATAGGACACGTCTAGAATTTGGAGAAGTTCCCCGGTAGCATGAGTCGCTTTAGTGGCCATAGTAAATAGACTGGAGCATTTGGAGCAGCGTTTTGCTACTCAGTCGTGGATCTATTGGCTTTGAGAAACGAGATTTGCATGGGTTTTACGTTTTGGGATTCCAAAAGCTCCCACGCCAAGGCCCAATCCCCTCGATCGATGCGGTCGTAGTCCCTGTCATCGGTGATCGTCCTCGGAGGTGCGACCCCTACGCGGCCTTTTGTGGACCGTCGCTTCGAGCTGTTCTGCACAATCACCCCCTTTAAATGTACTTTTTCTGGTGATGTACTTATCCCCCGTTTGTGATCTGGCGGTGGGCTTAGCCGTGGTCCAAGCGGGGGCGTGAGTGGGAGTTCAAGAAGCACTAGCCTGTGCTCAACGACCGCGAGCTCTTGGCGATGGTCTGTGCAAATGTAGCCGTCTGCTGCTGCACTGCGGTCCGATTCCAGTGGAGCGGGACAGAGTATGGCGGCGACGGTCAAAGGTGCAGCCTGTTGCGTGGCGTCCGTCATCCTCGTCGGGGCGATGGTGTGCGTGTGGAGTACTCTGTTTTATCCAGCTCTGTAGACTCGACCAGGTCCATATTTGCCTCAAATACATGGAGCTGACTGGTACGACCCCGAGTGAAGAAAAGCCAAATAATGGCGGTCCGGATCTTGTATGATGAGCGGGGGGCGATCCGTGACTCAATCTTGGCAGCGACCACCTCGTCGAGAAGCACTAAAGGTGAGAGCAGACGTTTTTCGCGGTCTCCGTCGCGCGACTGTGCCTGGAAACAGTATCTGGAGCATACTGCAGGCACCTCCAGCTCTGTGACCGGCCATCGATGCGCTGGATGACTTATATGGGTTGTTGCAGAAAATTGGCAGCCATACCCCTTGAGTAACTTGTCCCCCATGTGGTCGAGGGTACTATATTCGTCCGCCCCGACGAACTGGACGCATCATCTTACAAAAACCAACGTATTTGAGAGGCCGGCTCAGTTAAGGACATCCCTGTCCACCCTCGGCCTACGTGATTCAAAAGATGAGCCCGTCGTTTGTGGGCTAGCTGTACTTCGAGCGCTAGCAGCCCTTTGTACTTGATACCACGTTAGATACTGGCTGTTACCATCTCCAGAGCCCGGTCCAATGCTTCTAGATTAGCATCCGCAACCGCCTGAGCTATCGCCATGGCAAGGTAGTTTCCTGTCGCTGGTATAACAACAGACCTCACATCGAGTCAGCATTCCATTAGAGCCATATCAGCCAGAATTTTCGTTGATCTAGCGCCCATCGGTAGGGCCGTTGCCAACTGCTTGTGCATACAAGCTAGCGGCTTGCGCCGAGCTTTCATTCGTGACGCTTCAGGGTTAGTAACACAGGCAAAGTAGAGACTGGAGCCGTAACTCTCTGTTGGCTGACCGTTTTCCGGATTAGTTCCTCTGATGTGAGAGGAGAAGACCCTGATGGGCCCGTGCCATCGGCTTTCACCGCTGTAGATAAATCCACAGTTGTATACTCCAACTAAAGCCGTCAGGAGTCATTTGGCCGGTAGAAGCCCCGTTCTTCTCGTCGTCGTCCTCCCCCAGGATAGAGTATGTGCCTGGCTTTAAATGTATTTTACCTAAATACGCACAACAGCTCGGGACTTTAAAGCGCCCCTTAGAAGGTATAGAGATCCAAGGTTAATGCCTTATCGGTATAGGTGGAGGCTGAGGATGTTCAAATTTTATGTCTTGCTCTTCCTGCGGAGCGCTGCTGGCCTCTTTCGGTGGAGGCGTGGAGTCAACCGGATGCTGTAACGCCCCCGGCATTTGCCCAGATGACGTGACGGCGTGCTGAGCCACCAATATAGCCTTCCGCTGGAGCTGGAGTGGATGCGCCGCCATAGCCTCAAGCTCCTCGAGGCTAGAGAAGGGTTTCACGAGGTTTATAAGCTCCCGTACGTCCCCTTTCGTCACAACAATTCCGCCGGGGCTCTTCAGCTGCGCATCCGTAAAACTGCATTGAGCTAATATATGTCCGAGATTACCCCATTGCAGGGATTGCAACCTGTGCTTGTATTAAGGTGTTTAACGGTGATGGTTGCTTCGAACCAGATGAGACAGACAGCGCCATACAGGAAAGTAGGGGGCCTCGCGAGCTAAAATGTTACCCTCCAGAAGTAGAATTCCTTGACTTCGGTGTGTGCGTGTCCATGTAGTCCATGCCAAAGTCCTTGTAAAAATATCTCCTTAAACATGCCGCAAATTTGGCCACATCAATGAATCGTGTGAAGTAATGGAGGTGCACAGTCCACCCCACTCGCCGTCCATGAGGAAAACCATTGAGCCCTAGCTGCCGTTGCCACACCGACCCGCTCTTCGGATGGTGAGCATTTTGGAGCCGATGCAGTCCCCCAAAAACAGCACCCGGACCTCTTTTTGGCTGGCCACTGTAGTCCGAGTGAAAAAACAAAAGTGGATCGCCTTGCTGACGTGGTCATAGCTGATCTTCTTGGTTTGACTGAGCATAAGTTGGACCGCGGTAAGGTCAACGCGCGACAATTCCGCTGATTCCAAGATGGTCACAATTAAGGCCTCCGTCGTTCGTCGGATTACCTTGACTCGACGGGAGCGGTCCAATTGCAAAATCAGCTCGTATTTAACCTGGAACTGGATGGTGCTACATAGGCGCAGCCGTTCTTCGCTTCGCAGGCTTGTTTAACAAAATCTGGCAGTTGTCTGTAAGCCACGGTGCGTTCCACTAATCCAGCGATAGCCGAACACTCATCGTCCGTGCCTTTCCAAACCTGGTGCGGCCCAGTTCGGTTCCCCATGGTTCCGCAGAGTGCTCGTAGACGGGTGATCGCGTCCGCCGAGATTGCCGATGGATCGAACATAAACCTTTCATATTGAGTCATGTTTATACGGTCTTGGGGTAATTCGGGACTTGTTGATGCCTTTCCTGTGCGCATAACCAGTTCTTACTGGATAAGGACTGGAGACTGTAACCATTTATGCTGGCTGGCTAAACGTCGACGTTGGATAATGTTCTTAAATGCTCACTTCGTAAAAAGAAGTTTGCGTGTTGTCGCCGTAGCCATTCGCTTCTATTCCAAATAGCTTCCTCGACGCGTAACATGAGCTAGCTCGAACAAACTTAGCAGGAGACCCGATTTAGCAGCACCGGAAGAAGGAAAGAGCTTTCGCTCAGCTGGAATCTCCTCCGATCGCACTAGTACTGCGTAATAAACCTCCGCAAAGAGGTGCCAATCGTATCGCACCACGCCTGCACTGGTCTTACTTGAGAAGAGGCAGCCATTTCTCCACCAGTGCGGTGAACAATTCGGATGATGTTAAAGAAGGATGGGCAGGCGTCCGCGTGGAATTTTTTGACGTAGGCCTCATCATCGGCGATGCGCCAGAGATCCCAAGTGGGCGGCGCCCTTAGCCACCGACCCGACCTGTCACACCCGTGTGGGTGCTGGAGCCTGTGTCTGCGGGCGCTGGATGCTCGGTCGGAGGCGAGCTTACCAGGTGAATGGGGTCAGCCGGAGCCTGCCCATTTTATGAAGCCGCGCCTGGGTAAACCAACAAGTCGTGTTGCCCCCCCCAGCGGGGGGTGCACTTAGGCAGGCCTTCCGATGGTGTGATAGCCTTCTCCCGTCCACCGCCAGGACCGGCGACTTCGCCAGACCGCTCCTCCGCGCCCTGCGTGCCGCCGTCCATGTTCCCTTCCTTCCAGGCAGAGGAGAACGAGGGGATAACATTGCGCGCACCTTTGTTAGTGTAAGCCCAATTAGTACTCTGCCTAGACCACTAGTCACTGCTCTGCAGATTGGGGAGTGCGCAGAGGATGAAAGTCTTCTGCGATTAATGGATTGCGTGTCTGATCCATGCAGCCAAGCTTTAAAAAGCTTGACGTCTCAACACCGCTCTTCAACCGAACGGAATTAGATTCGTGATGGACTGCTGTACTATACAGCAGTCCATGGCGACGCACCTCGTGTCGTCGTTCCGGCTCACAATAATTTGCAATTGCGCATCATGTATGAGTGTCACGATGCCCCAACAAGTGGACATCGCGGTAGAGATAAGGCTGACCTCACGGTGAGTCGTGACTTCTACTGGCTCCTCCAGTATGAGTTTGTGCGCAAACACATTCGCGCTTGCGAAGTTTGTAAACGGGTGAAGCCTAGTCCTTCATCCCGTGCACCCTTGCAGCCTCTACCGATCCCGACATGGTGTTGGCAGTCCATATCAATGGACTTTGTCTATGGGTTTCCCAAAGACGCTCACAAGAATACTGGTATTCTTGTGCTTGTTGATCGGCTCAGTAAAATGGTACATTTTGTTGCTAAACCCGGGGTCAATCACAGCCCAAGGCTGTGCTCGTGTCTTCATCGACACTATCTTCTAACTTCACGGGTTATCCCGTGAACTCTTGTATAAGAAGGGACCCTGCTTCACAGCGGAGTCCTGGCAATCCGTGTTTCACTCACTTGGAACACGTTCGAAGATGTAAATTCCCTACCATCGAGAATCTTATGATCAAACCGAACGCTTCAACCGTGTCATCGAAGAGATATTTCGAGGTTGCGTCCACTCGTTCACGAGTTGGAGTGAGTTTTTGCCAATGGCAGAATTCGCCATCAACAACTGGGTGCATGCGTCGACGCCGCACACACCGTTTTTCGTGAACGGCCTACGCCATTCACGTTTGTCCGCTTTCTTAAAGTGTGACTCTAGTTTAAGGTGGGGGGTGGACTCGCTCGAACACAAACCGATATAGTTCTTGCTCATCACCCGTCGACAATGGTGTCGACGTGATGGATGCCAATGTCGATGCGATTTACATCGATGATGATGAAGACGATGCTGGTGTAGACAACGCTAATATAGCAGTTTACACGAAGCGCACTGATGTTGACAAGGATAAATCAGCAGAAGAATTCTGCTGACTCGCGAAGTGGTTGTCTGCCTTGCTCAAGATTCTTTTGAAGATGAAATCGACAAACAGGAGAGAAACGCAGACAAACTTGGAAGAGCAAATGTTTTTTCACTTGATATAGGAGACTTAGTTTTACTGTCTACAGTAAACTTACCGAAACACGCAGTGACAAACGTGGGCAGCAGTAAGTTACTACCCAGGTCTATCGGTCGATTCGTGTTTTGCGCCGTATGAGCAACGCATACACGATTGGACTGCCTCGCAGGAAGCAATAGCATCCTACGTTTTATGTCGGTCGTCTCCGTTCGTACTATTAGTACAAGCCCGTTTCGAGATGCGAAGAACAACTCCGCGGTCGAGAGCCGAGACCACCTTTGAGTGGTCCCGGTGCAACGATCCAGTCTGGTCGACAAGCAAAGCGACCTGCTCCCGCAGTTAAGCAATGTCCTGACGAGCTAAAGCCAGCTCTTCACGAAGTGAACGAGTCGAACGTTCGTTCTCGAGTTGCGCGTACGCGAATGCGTTGCGATTTATCGAACGATCGTGCGTTGGAGAATTGTAATTATCCCTAACAAGATCCTCAAGCCCATAACGCCGAGTCCGTTCGTGAGCCAGGTCATCTTGCAACTGTTCCGTTACACGGTTCAGCTCTTGAACATCAAGCTGATCCGACCCTCGAGCCGGATCAGTTGTTCCCGCCGCCACCACATCCTTTAACGGACATAAGCGGTGGTCAACGCTTTCTAGTGGAGCGTACTTTGAACTACTGCGATGTGAATGGCCTCCAGACGGGTTAGTTCGTCCTCTGGTGTGGCTATCCACCGCCGTGGGACAGCTGGGAGCCTCGTGCCCATCTAATTGTTGATGTCCTTGGTCTCGTCGAGCGGTACGACGAGACCCACCCTCTGCGTTCGAAGAAGGGCCGTCGGAAAATGACCTCCCCGAACGCGAGTACAGGGATTGCAAAGTGTCAATTTTTTCGGCCATCTTGGAAGAGATGCGCGCCCTCCCGTAGGGAACATTAGGAAGGTAGGCCTCCCTAGGGGCACAATTTGCATTGCCCAGGAAACCTGACCCGAATCACCTTACGAGAGACAGAATAATCCTGCCTCTCTTGTAAGCCGGTGCAACTTGTATCGCGCTTCGACTGGGTTGCGTTTCTCAAACCTGATGCGAGCTGCAGCAAGTTTAGCGAGCCTGAATTCACGCCAATGCACTTAATGTTATGAATGAAAGATTCTCATTCCTGCACCAAGACATTGCCGTCTCGACCACGATTGCCGTTGTAACACCAATGTTTAAAAAACACATTGGTGAAGAACTCTTAATTGGCACGAATAGTTTCCGTGCTGTAATTAGTAGGACAGAGCATCTTACACTCGAACGACGGGATCGGTATTCCCGTTTGGTGGTCGTGCCGGCCACTCGATCTAAGTCTTTGTATGATGGCATTCAGGGAGACTCCAATTGAGGAGCGTAGTGCAGGACATTTCGGTCCCTGGCCTCTTTAGTGGAGTCAGCATGAGCACTGACACCAGTGGCAGCTATAGACCTGATTTTTTTCGATTGTGGTGATGCATTGGGGCATCACAACCATCATCACGCGTCCTATCGTCGGATAGACTTGCGTGACGAGAGAATTCCTCAAAATAATTGCTCGGTCCCAAATTTTTGAGCATGATGCCGCCAAGTTGACCAGAGCCAGTCAACCTGGCTCTTGTAGTGTCCGCCCCGGATGGTCCATAGGCTAAGAAGACGCCTTCGAGTCAGATGCATCACCTGACTCGCAAAAATGGATGAGCTCTGTTTCAGGCTCATCTACATTGCGAGTTGCAGCACCCGCTGCGGACTCAGCGGGTGTATCTGTCGCACGTAGTGACTCACAACGTGGACTGTTCATATCAGGCACAGCCTGTTGCTGAATCGCTGCAGCAGCGAAGAATCACCTGTTGCTGAAGCAAGAGAAGAATCTCTTCGGTTGCACGCATGCGAGCAGCCGCCATTCTTGTTGCTTTGGCAGCACATCGCCTGGACTTTGACACCATGCGATGAATAATAAAAACGAGTTGGAACTTGACCAACAAGTGCCTTCCTTCCCAGAGTGATCCAACGGTGTTTGCTTTGTCCCAATCAGTTAAATTCAATCAATGGTTGATTGAAGATTAAGGAGGGGGTGATGTAACGGGGTAGCCCGTTACATGATATTGACACCAAACGGTGTCAATAGGAAAATTGTCTAGCATGACCATGTTCTACCAATATTATCCGAGATGGATAATATTGAAAGAATACTATCCCCTTGTAGGATAATATTCATGTGCTGCTCTATGTTTGGTTGATACGAGACATATTAACCATAGTTTGCCACCAATTGCTGCTAGACGTGTAACGGGGTGAATCGTTACATAACAATTTATAAGAAATTGTTAATAGAATATAACTATAAGAGTTACATTCTTAGAATGTTGTGATAAGGACAAATATTTCTGTAGCACTTACGAGTAGTTCCTAATTGGTTGATATAGGCCATCATATCAACCAACGAAGACGCGCCACGACAGACGCACGCAATGAGTGGTGAGCAGATAACTGATTTGCACATTTGCATTTAGACATAGTTAGATGAAGATAAATAGGGATTTATTGCAGACACTAACTATTATAAATACAGTTCTACTTTTTACTCTAACCGAGTACTCGCTTCTTCTTACCGTCTTCCTCTGCACGTACGAGTGTACGTGAAGTTACGAGGCACCGCCTTATTCTGTTATCAGAATAAGTAGCTTGTACTGTCACCAGTACAAGCTTCAGGGTGCCCCGTTACACCTGGTAGCACTTCGTAGTCCGTCCAAGGACCGCGTTCACATCCAACATGAATATGTTGGATGATGAAGATGACCAAAGCTTTCACGCTACGCGTGACGGCTACTCCCATTTGAGCGATGTCGAATGGGATGCTGTTGAATGAATGGGTTCAACCATGGGCATCCATGCTGTTAGCGTCATGCTAGAGGCTCTCAATAGAGATGCCCAACATGCTACTATCGCCAAGTTCATTCAAAATGAACTTGACGCCGAACGCGAGAAAGTAGCCTTGCTTCACCAACAAGGTTCTCAACAAGCAGAGTTGTTGAGAGAACAGGGCGCTCAACAGTTTGAACAGTTGAGACAGCAGCAGGCTGCTGCTGGTGGGTCGATGCATTCGCGTCGACCCGAGACTTTGAAGATTGACATCTCCAAGTATAGGGGAGTCGAAGAGGACTCCCTCTTGAGATGGTTCGTCGAATTGGATGACGCCATAAGGGCACGTCGCATCGACGACGGGGATATGCAAGTTGCATTTGCCCAGTCAAATCTGGCAGGACGTGCCAAGACTTGGGCACTGGGGCTCAAGTTGCACGACCCATATGCGTTTGGGTCGCTGGAAGTCTTCAATTCGCGGCTCAGACAAACGTTTGAACCGCCTAGAGCTGAGTTCAGAGCTCGAACCGAACTCTTGAAGCTCAAGCAGGGTAAGCGTGATGTGCACGCTTACGCGCAAAATATACGACATCTTACGAGTTGTGTAAGTTCCAATCCGGTGGATGAACACACGTTGGTTTCGGTGTTCAAGCAGGGTCTTGCGGATGGTCCCGTCAAGACTCACCTGTTCCGGCTTGAACTAGATTCACTAGAACAAGCCATTTCCATTGCGGAGCAGGAAGACTTCAGTCTGAGACAGGCTCGCGCCAGCTCGACATCATATCGTCAACCGAGACGATATGGCAGCGGAGGTCCAGAGCCGATGGAACTCTGTTATGTAGTGAGCGAGAAGGCTCGCTCTACATACTACAAGAGGTTGCAGAGATGCAACAGATGTCAAAAGACAGGACACTACGCTTACGAGTGTAGTGCCCCTCGTTCAGTGTATCGCAACACTGGGCGTATTGACCGTCCACCCATGAGAAAGGGGCAGGGACGCGGGTCCGCTGTTGGTGCAAAGACGCAACAACGGGATGGACCGTCAAAAAAACGGACAGGATCAGTAGGTGCGGAGCACCCTACTGGTCCAGCAACGTCAAGAGCATTTGTAGGCCTCTTGATGAAGGTTGCTCCCAACACACAGACATTGTGCGTTGCTGCTCTAGGTAATGAGATCTCACTCATTACCTTGAAACTCGAAGTGACGAATAAGTTGTCCCTTCGAGCTCTAGTCGATTGTGGGGCGTCCAACAATTTTGTGCGACGCCAATCGCTAGAAGATGGTCACTTTAAATTCAGTGAATGTGACACACCTCCTACGAGGATGACGGTACGTCTTGCGACAGGCGCATCCGTAACCGTTATGAAGCGTATAGTGAAGATTCACTATACGCTAGAAGATACCCAATATGATGATGACTTTATCGTATTGGATTTGGGTGACAAATTTGATGTCATCCTTGGAATACCGTGGCTCAGAAGGTACGAACCACGGGTAAACTGGCAACATCGGACAGTAACGATGCCTGCCGCTTGTTCATCAGGTGGCCATCTGATGAACGTTTTGGAGCGTCCACAAGAGTGTGGATGTACTACGAGTGAGTGCGATGGCCTCACTTGTGGTACGGTCGTTAGTACGACTGCACAAAACCTTAGTGCAACAAACGGTTATACTTCGGAGCAAGATTCCGGCGGCTGTGAGGTAACACAGGCTGTGCCGAAGGTCCACTACTGGAATAAGTCGAGTGGACCGGGACAAAGATATATCCCTAGCGGGGAACATCTATAAGAGAAACAATCGATCGCTCAGGTTAAGCGAAACGATAATACTATATCGACTGGAGAGTCTTTCGTAAAGGATCTCGCTGTATTTGCGCAACTCCAGCTAGAGGAAGTTAAGAGAAAAAGTCCCGATACTACAGATACGGTGGAAATAAGTTCCCCGAAACCCGATGGAACAAGTCCCCGGGAAGCCGAAGGAATAAGTCCCCAGGAAATGACAGAGACATTGAATGTCATAGTCAATGATGGATCAAGTGTGGGCGCTTACACACTTGATCTGATTGCGCCTCCGAAGTTGACTTCGGAGATCACTCAGTTGCCAACGGTTGAACATAAAAGGTTCTTGCGTGATCTGCGTAGTGGCAAAGTCAAGCAGATCTGCATACTCGTCGCTGACGACGAGTGTGTAACCGACATAAGGTCAGCAACAGTGTTTAATGAGAACGAGAGAATTTTTAGTAGTTCATCGATGGACGAGAGTGTCCTCGATGAAAAGACACGAGTTGAGCGATATGACTCCCAATCGTGGGAATCGCTCAATACAAATCCTCTCTATGAAGATTTGGTTGAATTCAAGGATGTATTCCCTGAAAATGTTCCGTGCGAATTACCGAAGGATAAAGGTACTCGACACGAGGTCGAGCTTAAACCAGGCTCGAAGTACTGTGTCATGAAGCAGTGGCCACTGCCTCGTGAACAAGTACTTGCGATCGACAAGTTCTTTGCCGATCGTTTAGCTGGGGGCCATGTGAGGGAATCGACTTCCCCACATAGCTCTCCGACCTTCTGTGCGCGAACTGCAAAACAGGAGGGTGGCGGGCAGTGCATGCATTTAGCAAGTTGAATGCTGCAACGGTACCGGCTCAGACGACGATACCGAGGAAGGACGTAATCATTGATGGTATGTCAAAGAGTACCATAAGTTCGTCCATGGATTTGATAGATGGATTCTGTAAGATCCTCATGCGAGAACGGGATATACCCTATACCGCAGTTAGCACGCCTAGCGGCATGCTCTGGGAATGGCTAGTAATGCCACAAGGGCTTAGTAATGCCCTGCCACGTTCAACAGATGTGTATCACATCTGTTGAGACCAGTACGAGAATTCGCGCCGAGTTATTTCGATGACATATTCATCCATAGTCGAGCTATGGATGGAAAGTCGGACGTTGAGGTTCACAGGTATCACGTCCGACAGGTTCTTACAATCATGCGAAAGCATCAATTGTATGCAAACCTCAAGAAGTGCATATTTGCAGCAAGCGAAATACCACTTCTTGGGCGCATCGTTGGTAAGAACGGTGTACGTCCTGATCCCGAAAAGATCAAGGCGATCACCGACTGGCCTGTGCCGGTTGATGTCAAAGGTCTTCGAAAATTCCTTGGGCTAGCGGCGTATTTGCATAAGTATTCACGCAATTACGCCGAGATGACTGTGCACCTCTCTCGTTTGTTGAAAAAGAACGAGAGGTGGTTATGGAACGCTGAATGTCAGCGCTCCTTCGATGGTATCAAGCAGAGCTTGATACAATCCCCAGTCCTAGCAATAGCCGATCAGGACAGGCCATTTCATGTGGTCTGTGATGCCAGCGATTTCGCAATCGGCTGTGCATTAATGCAGTACGATCTTGAAGGTGTTGAACGCGTCGTCTGCTATCAGTTGCGTCAGCTGCAACCAGCCGAGCGGAACTATCCAGTGCATGACAAGGAACGCCTTGCCATGAAGTATGCACTCGCGAAGTTCAGAGTCTATCTATTAGGAGATAGACCCTTCATTGTTTACACTGACCATGCGTCATTACGCACGGCAGTGAACAGCCCGCACCTTTCACAACGAATGGCGCGGTGGTTGTCATTCTTTGCAGAATACAACTTTACGGTCGAGTACAAACCAGGACGACTTAATGTCGTCGCTGATGCACTCTCACGTCGTCCCGACTTTGAAACAGTCGCGAAACCCAACAGTGAGACAGTCACTGTTGCGGTTATGACGTCCTCAGTCCCATCTACAACGTTGTATGATGATGTGAGGCGGGCATACGCCCAAGATGGTGAGATTGCGAAGTTGTTGACACATCTCTCCCAACCATCTCGAGAATCGTTGAAATATTTTTCTCGCCTGCGTATCGATCTGCATCAGATCGATACACTTCTCGCAACGGGTTACTGTTTTATACAGCCGTTTCTGGTGACACACCACGTGTTGTCATTCCAGATGATACTGATCTGCGTTTGCGGATCATGTTCGAGTATCACGATGCTCCTATAGGAGGACATCGTGGCCGGGAGAAGACATATCTCACGGTGAGTCGAGACTTTTACGGGCCCCGCCAGTATCAGTTTTTTGTGCGATAGTATGCTCGCGCATGCGAAGTCTGCCAACGAGTGAAGTCAAGTCCTTCACTTCGTGCACCTTTACAGCCTCTACCGGTTCCGGCTGAGTGCTGGGAATCCATCTCAATGGATTTCGGCTTCGGGTTACCCAAAGACGCACGCGGGAATACGGGTATTCTCGTATTTGTTGACAGGTTCAGCAAAATGGTACACCTTGTGGCTGTACCAGAGACAATCACGGCTAGTGGCTGTGCTTGTGTCTTTATTGACATCATCTTCCGACTTCATGGGTTGCCCCGTGAACTCGCATCAGACAGAGATCCACGATTCACTGCTGATTTCTGGCGTTCCGTGTTCAAATCACTCGGAACGCGCTTGAAGATTTCGACATCTGATCATCCAGAGTCGGATGGTCAGACGGAACGAGCCGTTCGTGTCCTCGAAGAGATACTTCGAGTATACGTACACTCCTTTAATAGTTGGAGCGAGTTTTTGCCAATGGTAGAGTTTGCCATTAACAACTCGGTGCATGCGTCCACGACACATACACGCTTTTACGTGAATGGCTTACGCCATCCGCGTGTACCCACCTTACTAGAGTGTTACTTTAGATTAAGAGGGGGAGGGAATCGCGCGAGCAAAAACCGATTTGGTTCACGCTCATCACTCTCTGACGATGAGGTCAGTGCGTTTGATGCCGATATCGATAATATCGATATCGAAGAAGATGAAGCCAGTGAGTGCGAGGAAGCCCTCACTGAAGAAAAGTTGTTGTCGCTGCAGTGCACTCACAGCGCACTGAAGCTAACGAGTCATCAGATGAGTTCATACTGGCTCGTGAAACGGTAGTCCGTTTTGTGCAAGACTCCATCGCCGAAGCGGTGGATAAGCAAAAGCAAAACGCAGACAAGAATGGAAGGGCAAACACTCTTTTATTTAATAAAGGTGACTTAGTCCTACTAACCACGGTTAACTTACCAGAGCACGTAGTGACTAACTTGGGTAGTAGTAAAGTTCTACCCAAGTACATCGGCCCATTTCGTGTATTGCACCGCCTAGGCAACGCATACACGATCGAACTGCCACGTAAAATGCGAACGCATCCCGTTTTACGTTGGTCGGCTTAAGCCGTACCATCAGTACGGTGTTTCTTCTGATGAAGAACGCCCTTGCGCTCAAGCATCTCACAGAGGGCCTTGTGCTCCCGATGGTGGATATCAACAAGGGTCTGAAGAGCAGTTATCTCAGATCGAGACCGGTCAATATCCACACGAGCTACCCTTAGCTCGTCATGCAGAGATGTAAAAACTCACTCGTTCTCAAGATAAGCAAAGGCAAACTCAGCTCGATGCTTCAAGACAGTGTCCGCCAGTTGGAGACGCCTGTCCCGCGCATGCTCGAGGTCGCCGCGTAACGCAAGAGTTACGCAGTCAAAGAGGCTCTCAGGGATACACGCTCCCCCACGATAGCTAGTAGAGCGTCTTTTCTCCTCCTCCACCTCCATTAGAGGGCTCTCGCGGTGGCCAGCGCTATCTGGTTGAGCAGCTGTTGAACCACCGCGATGTGAACGGACGTCGGACGAGTTATCTCGTCAGGTGGCGCGGCTATCCCCCGTCCTGGGATACTTGGGAGCCCCGCTCCCAACTGATGATTGACGTACTGGGTCTGGTTGAACAGTACAACGCGGCACATCCTGTGCCGCAGAAGGACCGCCGGAGAAAGTCTTCTCGGCACGGTCGTAAAGGGATTTCAGGCTGTCATTCCCTTCGTACATCTCACTAGAGATACGTACGCGCCACCACGGGCTAGTAAGGAGGTAAGCCTCCTTAGTTGCGCGCGCGGAGTTGTTCACACAACAAGGGCACAAGTCTTCCCAGGAAAGACAGGGTAACCCACTCTCCCTAGACAGACGATGCAGCTTGTAGCGTGCACCTGTCGGTATTCGCTTTTCAAACTTATCACGAGCTTTGATAAGTTTGTCGTTCCAAACGTCACGACCAACATCTTCAAGGTTATGGATGTAGGCGTTCCACGCTTGAAGCAGTGAGGGACCATCACGTTTGTGATTCCCACTGTACCATCGATGTTTGAAATAAGCATCGATGAAGAACTCATTCTCAACGCGATAGTTTTTCGCACTGGGGTCAAGGTGATGGATCCTTGACGAATCGAACAATCGTGTTCGATAGCGATCACTTGTCGGCGACGACAAGTGATCCATGACCGACTTCATAGGCAGCTATGCTTTCTTTTCGGGAGCGAGATGCAACACACTGCGGTCCCGCTCTTCCTGCGACGTGCCGACAGAAGTACTGGCACCTCGTTGCGAAGTGGTGTCAATAGGAGATCCGACACCACTGTTAGCGCCCGAGTCTCGCGACCTCTAGCGCCTTCGCTTCGGCGATGGTTCATCTGATTCGTCAGACAAACTAAAGATGCTGCGACGCATAGCATCATCCATGCCACACTTGGCAGGCGGCTTGTTTTCGATCGCCGTCGATACGGATCCGTCTTCCGTATCAGGAGAGTATGAGACACCGAGCTCATACTCTGTGAAGACATGAGTGTCTTCATGACCAGCGCCTGCATCACCAAGTGACACAGGCTGAGTCGCTTCAGCAACCGATGACACATCAATTGCTGCGGGTTCTGCTTCGGCGTCCGCACAGAGACGTGTAGACGCGCTCTTGGCGGCCTTGCTCGCGCACCGCATGGACTTGTTAACCATGCGATGAACTGTTGGAAAGTGGACTCGGACCAACAAGTGCAAACCCTGTCGCAAATGATTTGGGACGAGTGTCCATTTCGTCAATCAGTCACTAAAGTGAGTGATGGTCAAGGGGGGGTGACGTAACGGGGTGAATCGTTACATAACAATTTAAAGAAATTGTTAATCGAATATAACTATAAGAGTTACATTCTCAGAATATTGTCATAAGGACAAATATTCTGTAGCACTTACGAGTAGTTCCTAATTGGTTGATATAGGCCATTATATCAACCAACGAAGACGCGCCACGACAGACGCACGCAATGAGTGGTGAGCAGATAACTGATTTACACATTTGCATTTAGACATAGTTAGATGAGGATAAATAGTGATTTATTGCAGACACTAACTATTATAAATACAGTTCTACTTTTTACTTTAACCAAGTACTCGCTTCTTCTTACCGTCTTCCTCTGCACGTACGAGTGTACGTGAAGTTACGAGGCACCGCCTTATTCTGTCATCAGAATAAGTAGCTTGTACTGGTGACAGTACAAGCTTCAGGGTGCCCCGTTACAAGACGCGCGTAATGAGTGGTGAGTAGGTTGTCGTCATACGACGACGTAGTTTAGTATAGTTAGATAAAGATTAAGGTTATTTTGATAGCTTCACTGGATTAGATACAGTTCTCTTTTTTACCTTTACTGGACCGAGTCGTTCAAGTAGATTAGCTACCTCTGCACGTACTAGTGTACGTGAAGTTCGTGGCCCCCCGAACAAAGGGTGGCCCCGTTACATCTCTAGTATATTAAATATTGATAGATGGCGCATCAATCTGTCATCAATAGATAACTTAGGGTATCCACCACATAAGTTATTACAGGTTAACTAAAATTGCACATCGCATGTACAAGGTAAATCCGTTTAGGGCGGTAACGATCGTGTGACCCCGTTACATTAGTGGTATCCTTAGATGGGCTAAGGCGTCCATAAAATAACAAAACCTTCACCTTGACGATTTTTATTAGTTTAACGTTTCTCTTTAGGCACTCAAAATTACAAAGGTTTATCTGTGTCGCATTATAAGCGTACGTCCGGCTGTTGGCAAAAAGTTCATATATGTCATTAATTCTCGATGAGTTTTCTTCTTGTTCATTAAAAGGGATGGCATTATGGGCGATCTGGAATCTAAACTTGCTGGAAGCCCAATATGCCAGCACGACCTGGCTCATTTTTAATTTTTTAGGCCTGATCTTAGCCCATATCGAGCCTTTGTAAAATAAAAACCGTATTGGGACATGTTCATTTAAATTCTAAAAGGGGAAACCGCTTAATTTTTTGTTTCTTTTCATAATACTAGAAATAAAAACCCGGAATTTTACGCAAATGAAAACTCGGCTACTTCATTAAATTTGCATACACCAAGCCTCTGAGCCATACAAGATATGACTGTAATGCGAAGACAAGGGGGACAGGGTAGTACCGGATGGAAAAAAGCGGTTGAAGACCTTAAACATAAAAAGCTTTTCGTTCCACTGTCATATCTCTCTCTGTTTTTCATTTTACACTCTTCTAGAATTTAGCTCCCAGGTGGCGCTTAGCTAAAGTCTTTGACATGAGCAGACCGATAAAACCAGAAACGAAATTGGCTTCAACACCGGGTCCAGACTCTATGATCACATTTGGTGACGTATTTTGTCGGACAATCTCTTCATCAACAATTCGGCAAGACTCCCAAGTGCGCGTCCAGGAATTTGCGCAAGCTGTCTCGAGAGTTTTGCAATTCTCGTGTTACCAAGACCAGACGGGAAAATACCGTATAATACCCTGAACGTGACCATTCTCTCTTCATTGACACTGAGTGCCTTCTCCTCCTTTAGAAAGCGACGACCATCGGTGACGAGCTTTCGACTGGGACGCAGGTGCCCGTCAGACTGCATGCTGGGTTCGGCAACTGCGTTGGAGGTGCAAAAAGAAATCCATGCGACCAGTAGGAGAAGAGAAAGTCCTTGGAGGCGCATGACGAAGCAGATTCGCAACGACTGTACAGCGGTCTGGAAGAGATGGTTTGGAGGTCTTGCTCGCTTGGACACTCAATGGAAAATGATGGTGGCATTAGTGAAGTCTAGTTCAGCACAACCCTTCTGACCTGATGCATCATTTTACAAGGGGTACAAATCTGGGAGAGGCTACGGCCCGGTGTTGACGAGCAACGTGTGCGCATTTTTGTGTCTGAGTGTAGACGCAACTAAAACTGATCCGTTGGCGTTTTTGCCCATGCCGTCATCATTTTCAGTCATACATGGTACTCCATCACGATGCGGCTCTGTAGAGTCAAATCACTTTGCCAGACGGCATCGATCTTGGAGTTTTATCTTTGATTGGCACCGCAGTAGGATTCATAGGCTAAGCCATGCGACCAGTCTTGTCTGTCGTTTGGGAGCACTAACTAATAGGTTTGCTGTTCACATGTAAAACACTGACATCAGTGGCCGAGTAGTATACCGCTGGAACTGAGACCGGAAGGTATTTGGATCGATACCCGGTGGGGGATCGATTAAAGGGCGCCGGAGATAGGCCGATATAGTAGACGAGCAACCACGCAGAAGTGGCCGCCCTGCCAACCCGCGCAAGGCGTGTGATAGTTGGGTAGGCTGGAGGCTTTACTGGCCGAAAAGCCCCATAGTGTCATGAGGGGGCGGGTCCTGTAAGGAGTTCAAAGTGAGTCAAAGTACTCGCAGTTCACCCCAGGGTGATCTGAAGGACCGCGCGGCATAATCTCTTCACATCGTGCAGGACGGTACAGGGCAAGCTTCACGCATGAGCGAGAGTGATAACTTACACAACTGAAATCTTAAGCATCAAAAATATTCAGTGATCGTTGTGCAAGTTTTCAAACGCGCGAGTGCAAGTTCATTTACAGGGAAGGGGTCATGTGTGACGACGACAAGGCGGTGCATCCCGACCAGATTTAGACTGATATGTAGGCTGTATACAAAAATATTCAAGAGAGCCTGTCTCGGTAGAAAAGTGGCTGCAATTCATCATGCTTGAAGCACGGATCTGACTGGAACGAGGTCAAAATTAGACGGACTCATAGTCTTGATCATGAACTAGTTGCCGTATGATGTGTGGTGGTAGCTCAGAAGAGTATATATGGTATGAGCACAGCAGTCCAAGCACCAGGCTATTTTGAATAGCCGAATCGAGTCTTTTTGTCATTCCTCAACTTGTGGTCTTCCACGGACATCCACTATTCTATTGCCAAATCATCGCGATCTCGAACGTCTCTTTGCGTTGTCCACAGCCGCATGCGGATGACGTCACCATTAGCCACACAATGCAGTATTGAGCCCGTCGTGAACACGCCAAGAAAGCCTTTTTTTTATCCAGAATTCCATCGAATGGATGGCCAAGAAGAATCTCGGCCTTCATCGCGATGTCTCACTTGGCGCATCCTCCTGTCTTTCAATCGACTTGTCAGACATGGACATGCGAAAATACTGATTCTACATTCGTGCCGACGTCTTGTGGCCATGCAAAGCTGCCTCCGGAAATCGTTCTACAAACGACAAGTCCCAGGTAACACTCGAACGGGACCGCTTCGTGTCTCCAGAAGTGCACTGTGGCAAGCACTTTTCACGCTCTTTCACACTGCGACGTCACCTGGCTTCCACACGGGCACGAAACCGTATGCCTGTAACTATCACGGCTGTTTGCAACGATTCAATACGTCCGGATACTCGAGCCGCCACAAGCGCATCCACAGCGGCGAACGGCCGATTCCGTGCAGCTATGAGGCGTGTATTATGCGCTTCAATAAATGCACGAAACTCTAGCGGCACATGCGCATTCGCTTCTAGGACGGACAGAACCTCTTTTGGTGCACAGAGCATGCGTGTGCATGGGCCTGTGACAATTACAAAGAGTACGTCCAGCACCAGAAACTGCACTCGAGTAATCACGAAAGTTGTTTCGATGATCTGGATGAGCCATTAGTCACTACCAACGACATTGGTTTGGATGTTGTGAGGTTCAAGCAAGACAAGACTACGTGTAATGTATCTGCGCCGACAAACGTGGTGCAATCACGCCTGGAGCCGCGATATGTCGAGTATGCAGTAGAAATGTCACTTTTGGCTGTACGTGAGGATACCTACGAGTATATCTGTAACGGGGTGAATCGTTACATAACAATTTATAAGAAATTGTTAATAGAATATAACTATAAGAGTTATATTCTCAGAATATTGTCATAAGGACAAATATTCTGTAGCACTTCCAAGTAGTTCCTAATTGGTTGATATAGGCCATTATATCAACCAACGAAGACGCTCCACGACAGACGCACGCAATGAGTGGTGAGCAGATAACTGATTTACACATTTGTATTTAGACATAGTTAGATGAAGATAAATAGTGATTTATTGCAGACATTAACTATTATAAATACAGTTCTACTTTTTACTCTAACCAAGTACTCGCTTCTTCTTACCGTCTTCCTCTGCACGTACGAGTGTACGTGAAGTTACGAGGCACCGCCTTATTCTGTTATCAGAATAAGTAGCTTGTACTGTCACCAGTACAAGCTTCAGGGTGCCCCGTTACACCTGGTAGCACTTCGTAGTCCGTCCAAGGACCGCGTTCACATCCAACATGAATATGTTGGATGATGAAGATGACCAAAGCTTTCACGCTACGCGTGACGGCTACTCCCATTTGAGCGATGTCGAATGGGATGCGGTTGAACGAATGGGTTCGACCATGGGCATCCATGCTGTTAGCGTCATGCTAGAGGCTCTCAATAGAGATGCCCAACATGCTACTATCGCCAAGTTCATTCAAAATGAACTTGACGCAGAACGCGAGAAAGTAGCCTTGCTTCACCAACAAGGTTCTCAACAAGCAGAGTTGTTGAGAGAACAAGGTGCTCAACAGTTTGAACTGTTGAGACAGCAGCAGGCTGCTGCTGGCGGGTCGATGCACTCGCGTCGGCCCGAGAC